TCAGTTAATAAAGAATTAAAGGTGTTTTACTGAGATATATAAATTAATTAGATAATGATGTCGAAGGTGGTAGAAGTATTTAGTTTAAATTTTTGAAATATTAAAGTACTCTTTAAGAGTTGTATAAAAAAAACTTTGTTACAGTAAAATCTTGTTTTATATTTACTGTATTAAATACTTTCAAATATATCTTTTTAAAATAATATAAGAAATCTTCTTTCTGTATATAGTAGATGTCTTGATCAGTAATATCTTTAATTTAATAATTATATAGAATCTTTAATAGTATAAAACAAGTAATATCAAGTAGTTGAAGTTTATGGGAAGAATAAGACAGTATATATAAAAAAATAATTAATTTTTCTTTGTAATATTAGTTAAATTTAATAATTAAATAGCTTCCATGGTTATTAAGAATAAGAAAATAATATTAGTCTATTATTTTTGAGACTGTATATATATCAAAGTATTAAAGCCAGTTAAATATAAGTTTATTATTTATTTATTTATTATCACTGACACTGATCTGCTAGTTATTAGGAATAGTTTTAAACTACTTTTCTTACTGTATTTTGCCTGTAAAAATAATTTATAGAAGTAATATACTTTCTCCAGTACTGATTATGATAATTAAAGTAATTTATTTATGATTTCTAGGTTATATAAATCTTGTATTTATTTGATGTGATTTAGTACTGCAGATAATTTTTATAATTAATACTATTTCTATTTAAAAACCTGTTTTATTTATATTATAAGTATTATATTCAAGAATTCTATATTTTTATATGGTATTCTGCACTAATTTAAATTACTAACTTATAATTTTAATATTCTTGCACTTCGCATGTTAATAATTAAAATATTAAGTATATTTAAACTTTAATTTAGCCTGGTAATATTGAATAAATTAATTAATTCAGTGTTTACTGATAAAAGTATTTTTTAATTTTAATTTTGATATTAAAAGAACCTCTGTAAGATATTATACTTTAGTAATAGTAAGTAGATAATCTTATAAATCTAATTCAAGGATTCTGCGCTTCAAGATTAATTTATTATTATTAAATAGCTTTCTTAAATTTGTTTTTATTTCAGTGCGAGGCTTGATACTATTTAAATAATTTTTTAAAGTACTTATCTTGATATTAAATGCTGCAGTACACGCCTTTTTAGTAATATATTGACTGTGATTAAAGGCCTCGCAGGTAAGTACTAGTTTTCTATCTTGAGAAAGATTCTCCATGTATTTAAATAGCTTTAATTTTGAATAAATAACTTTAATTTTAACTGAATTGAGCAAGGTTGAATATGTGTGTTGTGTGGGAGTTCGAAGCGGTGAGGGTTGCCGCGCCGGCTCATTGTCGCGCTGCTTCGTTGTCCGGTTATGTTACGATTTCCCGATTGGGTAATCGGATTTGGGAAGAACTCAATTGATATTGGAATGCTAAGCAGCTACGAGTTTTATACGGATGATAATGTCAGCTTCTATATCCGAAGGTAGCTCCGTTTCATAGTACTACAAAGATAATGTGTGCTTGATATGGCAAAACTCTGCTCGAGATGTTATACGCGCAGTGTCAGTCCAAAAGTTTGTACGGTTCAACTCATAATCTCCCCATACAAGATTCTTAGAAGCGTGTGATTGAGACAGAGGCGTTTGATTTCAATGTAGACATCTTTCCATCTGAAGTTCTCCATGTTTAGCCATGTTCGCTTCTTATACAAGTGTTGCTAGACTGGAAAATGCAAGTTACGGTAGAACATAACCCAAGAAAAAGGCATTGTTAATAATGCTACTACGTCCCCAAATAAAATATGAAAAAAGAGGTTAGGATTGTAACGGAGGATCCGCCAGCCTTTTCACTAAGGAAAGACTTAATAAAGGAGAAAGAGGGACGGACAGGAAGAACCAGGACCGAAAGGAATACATGAAACCTAGAAGAAACAAAAAAACGGCCAATACAGAGGGCTCCAGAGCGCTCCGACAAAACTCACAATACCCTCCTTCGAATGCGAACCGGCACCTTTCCAACCGGTCCAACGGTTCCAAACCCAAAAGTGCGCATGCTCATCCGCAGATTCTTTTCGTCAGCCAACACCTCACAGTCATACAACGTTGTCATCAAAGCCATCCCAAGAATGATCATTGTTTTGGCAAAGTACCTCCCAGGACAGACGTGAAGAGCACCCCCGTAGGGCATCCAAGCACCTTTGGCCATCTCGGTCGTGAATAATAGTGTCTGGCCATCATCCGCATACTTCAACCACCTACCCACCCAGAACTCCTCCACCGGGTGATCCGCAGCTGCCCCCCTGCACCAGATCTCTGGATCCATATGACCCGCCATAGGAGTAGTGAGAATCCAGTTCTTGTTGGGAATGTGCCATCCATCTACATTCAGGTCGCCACGGGACTGATACCAGACGAAAAAGCCATTGATTCGGAGGCGAAGAGTTTCGGCATAAATGGCTTGCAGGACTGGTTGGTGTAGGAGGCGATCAATATCAAATTTCACATCTGACTCCGAGATCAAACAGGCGCGAGCCTCAGCCCGAACGAGGTTAAGTAGTTCTTGGTCTTTGAAGGCTTCCAGGCAGGTCCAGAAGGAGGTGTTTATACCGTTTGTGGTCATCCTAACGCCAGGTGTTAGCTGATATAGCCAGGTAAAAACCGATCGAGACATGACGTACCCCCAGATAACCGCCAGATCATGCATGGCAATAACATCCGCATCAAACCCTTCAATCTGTTGAAAGGCATCTACCCGATCGCGCCAGTATTTGGAACCCCAGACCGGGTCATCGCCATCTGAACCGACTGCGGCGGGGTCGAAGTGCTCTCGTGCCCACGTGTTCCAGTCCTTCAAGGCACCAAGCGCTGCGTCTCGTGCGGCATATGCCCGCGGCGCCAGGAACCGCGGAACCCCAACAAGCATCTTCAAGACGTTGTCGTCAAGGGTAATCAGGTTGATAGCAAAATTCGGGTGCTGTCGTATTAAGTATTTCCCACACAGTGCGTCCATCATTGAGGCAGTAAAGTCGTTATTAAAAAGCTGGACAAAATCGTCTAACTCGACCCAGTGGCTACGGATGTGGAGTGCCTGCAGGCGCTCTGTGAGGGTGGATTGAAATCTCTTTACAAAAGGAGCGAAGCCTGCCCCAAGGAGTAGACGTTGGTTAGTACGCCGGATCAGATATTCAATCCGATTCTGTGGCTTAACATTGCTTTCGGGATAAGGTCTGGGAAAACCCCCGGAGTTGTCATGGGCGTAGATCCGTAACGCGCTCGGCGGTAGGCCGAAAACGCGCCGCAGAAGGATAGCATGTACGGCAAATAGAGAGAGGCTGCGTTCTTTAAGGATGGAACCAATGGTTTCCGTGCCCTGGAAGATGTAGAGGGTTTGCGTCAGTATCCGTGCACGGACGGGTCGGGAGTTCCACAGTAGGTGCCTGTACGACATAAGTCACTTGTCCTATAAGAAGCGCTGGAGTCATACTTTGCCGAGAGAACAAAGCCTCGAGGGTTCCACAGCATCCCTAACGGAAGTGTTCCCAGTGGTGGTATTAAGGACGGCACCAATGGGGGAATCTTCATTCCTCGTTTGACTCGAGGCTTCTCATGTAGTGCGTGGATACCGTACCAGTAGTTCATCAGGCAGATCCCAATAGTGGCAATGATGAGATATGTGATATATATCTCTTTAAGAGCCAGAAAGAAACTGGTAGAATGCCACAGTTCTCCGGTATGATACGACATGATAAAGTGCGGGATGTAATGTGGAATAATAGAATTAATCTTGCGAATGCATTATAGAAACGGGGTAACGAAGCTTGACTGGTCTATTTAAATGTTATAGACTCATGGACCGGTACATAGTCATCTTGGGTGTGAGGAGAAGGGCTTGCCGAGGGCTTCGGACAAGCGCTCGCTTACGTGAAGGTGTACATTCGATCCAGGCAATTTGTATTAGAACACAATGTATCTGAAGAGCCTGCTTACCTCTATCCCTGTGCTGGGAATTACCCGGTGGGCAGTGTAGCATCTGTTGGGGTCCATTTCGCAAAGCCTGCGTCGAGACGGCCGAGAGATACCGCAAAATTTTCTCATCCTGGACATTCATGTGAAGCATGCATCATGCGTGAGGTCCTGATAGTGATTGATAGCACTGCCACCCGAAGTAAATTGGGACCGTAGTTTCCTGTCAACCTTTTCATGCACCGTGTAAGACCTCTTCCACACTCCCATAGGCGAGGAGCTTCTTACCGCAGCGCGCTACAACGATGGTAAATGTGTCCAATGATGGTTTAGTATCAGTTGAGCGATACTACGAGGCCCATGTCAAATATTACGATGGCCACCCGCTGTATTACGTAGTGACATCCACGGCCCCCAACCTGTCACGGACCTGTATGCAAAGGATCAGTAAACCAACAGCCGCTGATTCCTTCCGATTCACCTGTTAGACTGCCCTTATACGGTAACAGAAGGGCCGGCGGAGCTGTGGGTCGTTCTGATGTGGGCGGTTTCTGACCAGTTGTTTGTGTGGGGGGAGACGGCCAAAAATCCTCGGTGCTGGAGGTTCCTGTCGGAGGCTCTTGTAACCGGCCTATAATGGCTATCCCTCGTATGCTTAGCAAAGATGAATAAGAGGTCATGGAGCCATGTATTCATGGGGTTAGGAGTGCAAAGGCTTGTCAGATGAGGGGAACTTGCGCTATCACAACCCGCTAATGCACACAGGAATTGATGGCGTATTTTTACCGGCCAGGAATGTCAAGCAGCCACACGGTTCCTGCCGCTAGTGCTTATGCGCGTTATGCTTTTCTGCCTTACGGGGTACGGCTCGCAATTTTTTTTCCTAATACAGTTACCGCCTTGAGTATGGTGCATCTCAAACATGATGATCCCTGTGCGAATAGGTATTGTTGGGACAAATTCCAGCTCGCTTGTCTAATTACCACCAACCATGACCACGCCAACCGAAACATTCATCTAACCAGAACTTGTCTTTGATTACTCGGATAAAAGGATACTTCCAAAAATAAACGGCCAGGTCATAACCAGAGGGTCCCGTCCTCGGAGGTATATGTATCTCGCGCATTTGCCTGCAGTTCCACACGTTGACTAGATATTAGTCTCCACGATGTTAGCCTCATGTTACCATGCTGTGGAGCGGGGCGCAGTAGGTGGGTGATGGATATTGCAGATAGTCATTGGGCGCAACTAACCTAGAGCAATTCCCAAGACCATTGCCCCCTGATGAACTAGATAGATGATGGCATGGCTGATGGTGAACGGAACAGAGAGTAGGAAGCAGAAAACAAGCGCCTGGCGTGACACATAGAGAGGTACAGATGTTGAGGCCGTAAACAAAAGAAGGGAAAGGCTGAGGCTTAGAGAGGCCATGATTTCGTGCTGCGCGACGTACGCCATTGGGAGACGGGGCCGAGGAGGAGCATGCTAGATGAAAGTGTGACAAGCCTAGTACTGCCGAGAACGCTATCTGGCGTGTGGGAACTGTGGGTGTTTCTATTTAACCTAGTTTCTTGGGGCTCATGTTATCGTTCCATCCAAGGCTGTCTCAAATGTGAAATTGGCCAGCCGTGCCTTGACCATTTAGCGGCGACCTACCGAGTTAAGTGGAGCACGTTGTATCTCTACCCTTGTCTAGCGGCCCGCCCCGACCAAACGCGGCGCCATGATCGTCATGCTGTCTTAGGAAGGTGATCGACCAAGCCAGGCGGGGTTGACAGGCTGTGAGCAGCATGTCAGCTTGCCGTGGTGCTTATCTTTGGGCTCCAATGTTGCCTTGTCGGAACAAGAGACCTTTCCCTGGATACGCATACTTTGCACAGCCGCTTCTCATGCATTTAGAATGCAACCGACTAGTTATAGTAGCACGGGAGGGAGGGGTAATTGAGTGAATTGATCTCATTCTCTAAATATTATCGAACGGCTGAGAATTTGACCAGGTTCATTCGATGCCGGGTAGAACCACCCTTAATGTCACCCAGAAATCATAGTGTTAGCCAGCCCTCCACATGCACTGCCATCGCGTTACCTCTGGGACCGGGCTGGTTCCGATTAGCATACCACGCGGGATTAGTCTAACAGGCCGAGCGACCTTCAACGTCCACATGTCGCTGGGTTTCATGGACGTCGAATTCTCTTGTTGTAGATCGGCTTGCCAGCACTTCCATCTCAGAGCCATTGCCATAGATCCAAGTGCTAGACATGTTATCTGGATGGCGCCGCTTTGGCGATGAGAAAGACTCCTGCAAAAACTTTTTCACTGAGAATGGAGGGGGCGAGTGTGTTCGGTTTTGCGCCACAAAGAAGGAACGGAATGAAACTGCCGCTGCTAGGAAAACCCCCACCTCGGCGCTTAGAAACTGCCAGTATGTTTCCCAAATAGTGTCGACTATATCGCGGTAGACTAGTCCAGAAACTCTGACGATTGATAGTATAATCATGACAACTGTTAGGCAGAGGGACAACGTAAGAATGATTCTTTGAGTCCATCGCACTCGGATTTTCCAAATGATATTGACGGGTATTGCGAGAACTAACACACGTTAGCTGTTGAACGGTTGCGGCTACTCTGCCAGACTAACTCAGAAAATCTCCCAGTGTATCCAGCACCATGAGGATGATGGATTCTGCCACCACCTTACCCTTCTTTGACCCTACTGAACAAGTAACTGTATCGCGTAAGCGTTAAATCCAGCCCATGGAAAGAGCATGCTTACATTGCCTCATGTCATAGTAATAGGGGCAGCTGAGGAAAAAAATCAAGGAGCCGTAGATGAGAACCGCAGCTGTGTATACCGTAATCGCCCACCAGTAGATCTGCCAAGGCTTGATTCGGTCGATGAGCTTTTTGAAGAAAAAGAGGAAGCTTAGCTTAACAGCACCGAAAGCGCACCAAGAGACTGTCAGGCAAATTGCACTCCACTCGTGGTACACATAGCCCACTTCGATAATATCCGCCGGAACAGCGACGTCTTTCATTCCAAGCTCCATCGCGACGAGAAGATACATGGGATCTATCACCCTGCGATACATGATTATGATACTGGCAAGTAGGAAACAGAGAGCCAGCACAAGCAACCAGTCATCCACAGAGAGTCTCTGTCTCTGTACACGGAATCGGATGAATAGTCGCATAAGCACGCCCAGAACTGCCGGGGCGAGGAGAATTGAGATCGAGATCTGGACTAGCGGTTAGGGCAGGGATGGAGGCACTTCAGTTCAGATACTCACAATGAAAGAATCCCTAGGGATTCTTCCTGCATAGTCTTGAGGCTGCATGTTGATAATTCTTTAATGCTCGCTGGAGACGGTCGTGACTGTGTCGTGTGAATGGCAGTGCCTGGCAGGCGCTTTAAAGAGAAGCACCAGGAGGCAACATGGAACCGCGCTTGGAGAAGAGGTCCCCGAGCAAGAGGTCCCCGAGCAACCTGCTGGGAGGGGGTAAGCATTGTAATCACCCGACTGCTATGGTCACTGAATGGTTGGATTCGAGACCTGGGAAGATTCACAGTAGCATGGGTTGAATTTTGCGCTCCGCCCCCTCTCGACGTTTCCTTTTCCATCCCGGTGCTCCGAGTTGATGCACCTCTTCCCCGGCTGAGCCTTGCAGAAAAGGTCGGGCCCGCTCCATACTTCCAATGTTGCAGATTTAGAGGTTGTCTCATTATCACCGGGGATAGTCTTAGACGATATCCCTGTACTAGTGGCGGGCACCACCGTCGGGCAAACGGTATCTATGGTTGCGCAAGGCTGATACCAATCAATACCTTACCATACGGGCTGCGCCCACCACGACGTGTCACTAAACACCACCACCCCTGCTAGTACAGTCTTTAGCTAGCCTACGATTCCCCCAACCATTTGCTGGCTCTTTTTAATCCCCTTCCCCTAATTTCCTTCTTCCCGTTTTTCTCCCTTCCCTCCATCATCGCATTCCTTTCGTCTTCCACTTCCTTTTCCTTTTCCCACCCCTTTCCGTACTGCAAGCCTTTCTCCCCAATGCAAAATCTCAAGTTTCAATGGGAAGGCCTCGGCGGCCGCATCGCCATCGCTTCGGCGGTGACCTGCCTCATCTCTTTCTTGTACAAGATGGTGAAGGTGCGACTGCACATGTATCGTCTCAAGAAACAAGGAATGGTAGGTGCGTTTGCCTTGGATCCGTTGCTCTCAAATTAACCACTCTGTAGCCAATGCCCCCCTGGGATCCTATTTTCGGCCATCTGCGAATCATGCCCGGTCTCGCCAAAAAGTGTCCCAGTGATGCTCTGCAGTCCCAGACATTCGCTGTTCTCTCCATGCAGTATCCGGGCCTACAAAACGGCTTCTATATCGATGTTTGGCCATTTATGTGCCCAATGTTTGTTTGCACTACCCCTCCGCTGGCCGTGCAGGCTTGCCAGACCCATAATTTGCCCAAGCCGACCGATCTCCTGGCTCCTTTCATTAACCCCATGTCGGGTGGGGATACGTTTTTCACCACCAATGGGGCAGTGTGGAAGCATGATCGCGACCTGTTCAACCATGCATTTAGTACGACGGTTGTGGTTGGCCACGTAGATTATATTTTAGAGGAAGCAGAGATCTACGTGGGAATTCTCCGCGAACACGCCATTAAAGGTGACACTTTTTCAATGGACGACCTTGCTTGTAGTTACATGATGGATGTCATTGGTAACGTCGCACTGTAATAAATCCCTATCTTAGCACGAGTTGTGAGCCCAGAAACTGACGGAATTGACAGAAATACACGCTTCAATTACCAAACGGGACACAACCCTATCGCCGCTGCAATGCGCAGTACCATCGAACTTGAATGCGGTCGGGAAGGGGAGAACAACCCTTTGCGACGCTGGAATATCCACCGGCTGTACCGTCAGTGGCGAAACAGCCGGATTATGGAGCACCACATTGGCCTGGAGCTGGAGAAGCGCTATCAGGAATGGCTGCAGCAAGGCGAAACGGCCAAAGGCCGTGGAAAATCCATCATGGATATTGTTATTGCCGAATATATGAAGAACCGAGCGACAAGCCAAAGCCATACCTTGACCCTAGACCCTAGATTCAAATCTTGGGCCATCATTCAAATTCGCCTCTTCCTCTTCGTCGGACACGACTCAACCGCCGTGACTATTATCTACTGCCTCTACCTCCTTTCAAAATACCCCGACACCCTCGGCAAAATCCGCCAGGAACATGAACAAATATTCGGCTCCGATACCACGACCGTCGCAACACAGATTAGGGAACACCCTGAAAAGATCAACCAATTGTCCTACACCACCGCCGTCATCAAGGAAGCACTCCGTCTCTTCCCCCCAGCAAACGGCATCCGATGGGGTCGTCCGGGCATTTCCCTTACCGACACCCACAGCACCGATGGACGGACCTTCCCTGTAGATGACTGCGCGGTCTGGCTCGTACATACCGCTATCCAACGGAACCCAGGGTACTGGCCCCATGCGCACGAGTTTGTCCCCAATCGCTGGCTCGTTGAGCCGGGGCATGAGCTCTATCCGCCTACTGGTGGATGGCGGCCCTTTGAGCGTGGTGCACGAGACTGTGTGGGGCAGAACATGGCTATGTTGGCAATTAAAATTACTCTGGCTATGTTGGTGCGGGAGTTTGATTTTGATAGTCAGTATGAGGAGTGGGATCGTAAGAACCCGGCGGCTGGCGCGGTGCGGACTATGTTTGGAGAAAGGGCATATATGGTTGCCAAGGGCGCGGCGCATCCGGCTCAAGGGTATCCGTGTAAGGTGATATTGGCTGTGTAAGTAGTACGATTGTTTGATATTATGTGTACATTATGCGTGATTGAAAATGTGTCTGTAGACGAATCATTTTGTTAAAGGGTTTCTATTGTAGCATGAGTCTGAGTAGATAGTAAATCAGGGTGTAAGATCGCTGACTATGCTGCATCAAGCTTATAACGAGCTATATGAAAAACAGCGACATAATATTTATATGACTGGAGTAAATAAAAAGATACCAGAGGACTAGACGTAAATGCTTGCCTCCGTAGGCTTTATAAAAAAGGACTGACTAATATTGACTCTATTATATGCGAGCGAGCTGAGTTGCAGTTACATTAACTAACTAGTACATTTCTGTTCTAACTAGAAAGGATATTTAATAAAGAAAGCATATATGCTAGAAGCTACTCTAGCTAATATTTGTCTTCGATTCTTCCTCCTTTTGGCCACTTCCTTCTACCGTCAAGAACCCGTTAACCCCGCCCGTAAACGCTTGATGATCTCCTGTCTCATACCAATAACTTTATATCCCAGAGTGTCAATCGCATTCACTGCTGCGATTATATTGACACCAGCGTGTCTTCAAGGGAGAGCAACCGTTCCTTGTATCATTAGGATAAAGTGGTGCAGAAACATAGCGTTAGGTGCAACCGTGACGAAGTTCTCCGAAGGTCCTTTCATAATGTCTGTTGTTTGCTCAAAAAGAAAAAAAGAAACATATATCCCCAGCAGGCGTGGAGAATACCAATCATGGAGATCCAGGAGACGGTTAAATAACTCAAATGGAACCAAGGGTTGGTCAGGCTGGTCAACATAGATTTAGTTACGTGTATTGCCGTCTTCTATTCCTTTGTAGCACAACTAAATAACACGAGGCGGTATAACTTCCAAAAAATATTTCAAACCATCACTAGTTGTTCAATACAATACATATGATACAGGTATCGCCTTAGAGATCCACAAACCCAACCTTCATTCCCTCCGGCAATGGAGTGCCATTTCTCCTAGCGTGCTTGGATGTTGCGCAGACAGTCCTATATGAGAATGTATTGCTGTCATAAGCGCTGCAAGTGGTGCGTCTCTAGTGGGAACCGGTCTTGGTACTGGGCTTCTTGGTAGACTTCTTGCTGGACTTGCTGCCAGAGTTGCCAGAGTTGCCAGAGGAGTTGCCAGAGGAGTTGTTACTATCATTTGTAGTAGCCTTCGCAGTAGCCGTGGTAGTGGTCCTGGTGGTAGTCGTAGTAGTCGTCGTGGTGGTAGGACTGTCCGCAATATTACTGCACTTCTTGAAAGTATTGCCCGTAAGCGTAGGATGATACACCGACCCCACATACTGGTTACTCCCATTCATGATAACCCGGTACTTTCCCGGTGCGCCATTTCCTTCAAGTTTCTTCTTAGCACAATCTCGTATATCGGAACGAAAAGTCGAAGAAGAGGAAAAATTGGGGCAGCTTACCCGTATATGTACCACCCGGGATCAACGGATACTCTTGCATATTGGAGGCACCAAAGAAGTTATCGTAGTTCATGAAAGGCTTTGGATATATCCCACCACCGTTACCTTTGGACTGTCGGATGGCGTTACTGATGTCCATTTTGGTTAAAATCTCTCCGCCGCAGTTGACATCTTTGATCTTCGCGCGGCCGCGGGCAACAAGAGTACTAGGCTCATCGGCCGTTGGGTTGGCGATGGGGCTAGCAACTGCAGTGAGAGCCAGGGCTAGAAAGAGAGTGGGCTTGAGACTGAAAAGCATAATGGCTTGGGTTCTTATCTGGAAACAAAATGTTTGAGTTGGAAAGAATGTGTTGACAAATGTTTGTCTAAATGAGAGACTGGTATTGAAAGCAGGAGAGAATTGTTGAGTGAGTGACTTGAATGCGAGATGAAATCCAAAATGGTGGTTACAAGAGCCAGTCTTTATACCCTTCTCTGTGATTCTATCTTGCCATATACCTACATAGCTGAGGAGGTTAAACCCTCAAAATCACTTTTCGGCCCGAAGGAATGTCTCAGTTGTCTATACAGTATACAATCTCGCTTAGCTATGTATATCCCCATCATGGGGGCCAAAAAGGGGCCAAAAGAGATTAGTCTGCTGCCAACTGGACCAAACCGAAGATCGTCTCTACTAGTAGAATCCCGGTGCACTGAGATCCATCTGAGGAATGGGGGCCGGGCGATCTTTGACGCTGCAGCTTACGGGCCAACGGTGCCACCCGCACACGTTAGGACCCTATCCTATGGGAATCGCTAATCCTATGCGGGGTTTGATCCTATATAATGTGGAGTTGTCTCACAGTTCGTATTCTTAATATAGGAAACAAATGTTTCATTTCCCCTCCAGGAGCGCGAAGGTGGCCTGTTGGATACGGTTGTTGGCTGGTCAGTTTCTTAGTGCCGACCGCTTTCCGCGCAGCTCCAACACCCTTCATTTTGAATTGATCGAATCGTGTCCTGATCCTTCTTTCTTTCACCCCCAATATCCAGCCCTCATCATGGAGGTCTTCGCTGAAGAATATCTTGCACGACCGGAATATCAAACTACTACTGAATCGATACATGATCCTGATAGACTATGTTCAAGGATAGGATGTATATGGTTTCCAAGGGCACAACACATTCAGCTCAGGGATATCTGTGTAAGATAAGAGAGAACTAATTGTGATGTATATAATTCTTGTAAATTCTGTCAGAAATTGAGTATTCTCCATTCTGAAAGACTATGGAAAAAGTTAAATCATGATTATAATATATAATGAGCATATACCTAAGCTAATTAGAATAGATAAAATAGAGAATATACTTGTATTATGGCTACTCTAGCTGATGCATCACTGAATCTTTCTCTTGCTTGCCCATGCTAGCACCTTGCCTGCTATGAACTAATGCAATCATGTGAAGAGATTGATTATGATTACTCACTCACAGTACAATGTTACGTAGTGAATCGGTAATTGAATGTATTGTACGGTATTCAAATAGTTAGAGATAAATAAACAGAATCTGGGGCGCTCGACATAATGTAAAAAACCTGGAATTCTCGAGATATCACCACCATCATTGACATAAAGCTCTATATGGAATGCCAACATTCACTGGGACAAGTCTCTACTTATTGTTCTCTTATATCAGTAAAACTCAGTAGATGTATGTCTATGTGAAAAGAACTGCATCAAAAATATTATACAACGGTTCATTCATACAGAACTAAAGTACAGGACGCATGAGTATGTCAGCTCCGCTATTTCCACATCCCCACTATCCTCTGTTGGGACATCTTCCTCGATGGTTTGGCTGTCGTGACCTTCACCTGCGCCTTCGTAGGGAGTGAAGTAGCATTGCTTTAGTGGCTACCAGTCTTCTTACCTGGCTTGCTGCCAGACTTGTTTCCGGACTTATGACTCGTGTTGCCACTACTAGCCTTGGTGGTAGCAGTGGTAGTAGCCTTGGCAGTAGTAGTGGTGGTAGTAGTGGTGGTAGTATTTGTTGTGGTAGGGGTGTCCTCAAGATTCGTGCACTTTTTGAAACCGCCACCAGCGATGTGATAGAGTGATCCCTGGTAGACGTACTTTTCGTTCATGATGACGCGGTAGCTACCCGGTTCTCCGGCAGTCTTCTCTGTTACATTTTCAATCTTGTTAGTGCGTGCTCGCCTACTCTAATACGCGCCACTGGACAGCAAGAAAGTGCAAGACAGAAGCAGGAATGGGTTAACTTACTTCCGCTATAAGTTCCTGAGACCAATGGATACTCATACAGGGTGCTGGAGGAGCCAAAATGGCCCTCGCCATTGCCGTATACCGCTGGATACTTGCCATAGGCCCTGGCGTTTGTCTCCCTGCCCTTTTCAACCACTTTGGATTGTTCAATGGCATTATGAATGTCTGCTTTGGTAAACCTTTTACCATTGCAATCGACATCTTTCCTAGCGGCGCGGGCGACCAAGGTGTTGGCCTCATCGACTGTCGGGTTAGCGATTGGGCTGGCAATCGCGGTCAGGGCCAGGGCCAATAGAATGGTGGGCTTGAAGTTGAAAAACATATTGGATAGAATGAATGTGTTGAATTAGGGGTTTGCTTGAAGGAAAGACTTGTAATCAAAGTATGAAAGGTATTGTTAAGTGAGTGACTGAGTTGATGGCGAGATGAGGACAGGAACAATGATGCGAAAGGGCAGACTTTATACCCTGTTACATGGTTTGCATCGTACCATGAGCTACAGAGGCCGATAATATGAAGCGCCCAAGAGCGTACCAGCCCCCAAGAAGTGTCTCAGAAATCTATATAGTATACGAAGTCGCTTAGCTATTTATACTCTCGTGATGGGGTCCATGATGGGGCCAAATAGTATAGGACTGCTACCTGCTAAACCAGAATGAGAGGCCGACATTCGGGTAGCGGTGCATCTGGATCTCCTTACCAAGTGGGGGCTGGGCCATCTTGGGGGCTGCAGCGGCATCTCCCGCACATGTCAGGACCCTTTCGTATGAAAATCACCCGCCAGATGCAGGGAGCTGATCCTTTGCAAAGAGGGGAATCCCACAAATCTGATTTGTGTGACTAACATGGAAGGCTGAACTCGATCTCGTTTTCGAAACGGTTGGCTGATCAATTCATTAGTGCTGACCGCTTTCCAACCGGACCCCACGCCCATTATTTAAAGCACTCCAAGTGCGTCTTGGACTTTGTTACATCCAGAACCTCAAAGCCACCATCATGGAAGAGGCCATCAGGGAAGAGTTCGGCGAAGACCTCGTTGTACGACCAGAATTCCGAGTCATTAATGACTTGCTTCAGGATCCCGATGTTTCACCCACTGAGGCAGTCCAACGGCTTCTTCGGGTACGCGAGAACCTACACCATGGACAAGAACCCCCATCTGAAATCGATGGCAACCACACATGGTTCACCATGCTCGTGCTCGTAGAGATCATAAATCTCACACCACCTGCAAAACAACGCAAGCTCGTTGAATTCATTGCTGAGCTTCAACGTGTTGACCTTACCGATCCTTCTACCGGCCAGTCGCCCACGGCGATCGAGCTGAAACTATGGACGGAGCTTCCATACCTCGAATTATACTTGGCTGATATGTATGGGTTCAGATTCAAGGCTGGTACGTCTATTTCCCTCATCAATCAACCCGTGATTAACTCTATCAGAATATGCCCGGCAGGTCGATGAGGATCCCCAGACGGAGTATCCTCCAAGCAAGCTTCAGGAGTGGGAGAACCGGAATGCTTTTATGGCGCAGCTTACTGCGATGGCAGCTCATCTCCGCCACCCCATGGATGTATCTCTGTATGCTCTGTACTCGTGCCGATCTGCATTCGAGCAAGGGCCGCTGATAGAGGAGGCCGTGCGCACTGCATGTATCTGGTATATCCATGCGGGCCAGCGTGTGTGGGAGAATTGTCAAACCGGACGGGAATATGGAGATGATGATGATCCGCCTCCACGCCGGCGCTTTAGTATGGATAAATGGCGCATTTGGAAAGACGGACTGAAGGCGGCACAGCTGGAGTTTCCCAGGGAAAGTACGCAGGAGATGATACGGACGGCGTTGGGAGAGATGGAGAAAGCGGAGCGAGGAGAGTGAGGATCCGGAGAAGGTGCTGGAAGAAGGTATTCCGCTGGATATTAGCTCGGTAATGATACAAGGCTCGTCACGCCCTAAATATTGAATGTGCAGAGTACTTCCTCTTGTTTATTGTATTTTGCGACCAGCCAGAAGCTCCAGTGACGTAGGTATCAGCTGCGTGTGATGCATCTGTAACTCGACCAGGGCGCATATCAACACCACAGTAGTCATGGCATGAAAGCTTTCGAGTAATCATTAGTACAACTTGCAGAAGGAGATAAGTACGCAACGTGGGTATCCTTATATCAGGGACATTTCCTGAAGTGTAGAAATCCAGAAAAAGAAACTATGAAGGAGCGAGGGGCGTAGACATTTGTGAAGCTGGAGGCGAAGCAGGGTTAGCGAGTAAGTTGCACAGTAACAGCCAGACCCACGGTGTGCCCCACAAAGGGATCCAGGAAAGACTTCCTTGAAGGCCGTACAAAGGGGAACCTTTGATGGTCTTATCATGTGGTATTCTATGATACATATCATTGACTTTCAGATTGAGTATACCGCTCAGGTTTGCCATGCAGGTGAACCGGAAGACTTTCCCGAAGCCTTAGGCAGACTCTTTGGCCTCAGGCTATAGTACTGAAATAGGCAGGAACTCTCCGATCATCATGTGCAGCCTTTCCTAAAGGGGAAGGCGAAAGGAGTGACAGGAGCCCATCACAGCAACAACGCGATGTGCAAACCGTCCGTGAAGAACGCAAGTCTCTAAACAACATACCCTCTATCAATGCAGAAAACCAGTTTTCCTCCAGTTTTGAATATACCGACGCACCACCTCCTCGCCCACAGGGCCCAGTGCCCGTAGCGAAGGCGACCTTTCGCGTGCACGCGAAGTGTCCAGCAACAGCCCCCCGCACGACATGCGCTCAAAATTATCACTCAGCCAATCTGTCATCACACTGGCAGGGTTGTCTTCTCGCGTTCCGGGGAATTCTTTGACTCGTTGGATCCATTCGGGAAATGGAATAATGTTGTCCGGTGGAATGTTCGACTCTTGCGCGAGGAGCCTTATCATATCAGACCACGACTGACGGGCCGCATTATCAATATGGTATATTGAGTGGGGATCTTTTGTAAAGAGAAGGTCCGATAGGGTGGCTGCAACGATATTCACCGGTGTCCAGGATAGCACCCCATCCAATGAAGGGAGGATCTTCAATGTTTCGGCGGATCTAAGGAGAGCCGGAAAGTGCTCTACAGCATTCCAGTACCCACTTGTGGATGATCCTGCTATTTGTCCGGGTCTCACTACCATTGCGTTGAATCGGTGAGGGTGTTGACATAAGGTCTGGAGAAGGATTTGCTCGCAGACAAATTTGGCTTCCGCGTAACCGTTAGTCAATGCCCAGTCGATCGTGCCGTGGGCTTCTAAGACAGTTGCCTCGCCAGTCAACAAGGGGCTATGACCGACTGTTCCGATAGATGATATAAACTGGAACCCAATGCGATCGTCAGGCGAACAAAGCGAAGATATTTCGCAAGCTAAATCAACCAAGCTTCTCATCATCCGAAACTGCGATTCGAAGGCCGCTACGCTCTTTGCTCCATTCATGGGCCAAGCGTTGTGGATAATATGCGTTATAACTCTCTTCAATGTATCATACTGCTCAATTGGAAGTCCTAGGAATGACTCTCCATCTTCCATGGCAAGAACTCTCACTTTGTCCCACTCGTCTGCAGTCAAAGTTATGCCGCGATCGGCCAGTGCCCGTCTTTGCCGCTGCATTGGTTGCTCCACACAACCTCTGTTGATGCAGTAAATGCGTTCAACTTTCTTCATCCGAGCCAGGTGTGCCACGAGATGACTACCCAGGCTGCCAGTGGCTCCAGTGACCAACACCCCTACAGAGCCTGAAACAGTCCCTGCACCAGGTACAGGAACCATGAAACCTTCAATAGCGCGCGAAATGTATCTATCAGTAGTTTGTCTACGAGCGGCGGAGTCAATTCCCACGAGAAGATCTATGCTTTCTGGTTTTGGGCCCAGAGGCAGACGTGCGTTTTGATTTCCCGTGCATGTGGCAAAAATGACGCGTTGAACACTCACTTCCGGTGAATAACCATCTGTCCAGTCGACATGACCATACCCAACGGCATGCAAATCTGTCTCCCAGCGTCGCTCGCTGGTAATGGCATGAGTGCGGCCGTCATTAAACACCCACCAACCGCGAAAGAGTCCGAATACTATGTCAATGGCAAATTGCGGTCGGGTCATCTCGAGCATCATGACCACCCCATCAGGCCGTAATGCTTCTCGCATATGACTAGTTGAGACTTGAAGGTTTGATGTCGCATGCACAGCATTGCTCGCGATAATGATGTGCTGGGTCCCGACGAGATCATCGGCTGGCGCCTTCTCTATATCGTGCACTCTATACCTTACAAATGAGTAGTCTTTGAACCGCCGACGACCTTGAGCCAAGAAAGCAGGCGATATATCGCTGAACGTATACTCAACAGGAATTCCAAGTTTAGCGAGACCTGGAAGCAGCCACTTGGTACCACCCCCAGTACCGGCACCCATCTCGAGGATCCTAAGTGCCCCCCCTGAGTTTTTGTCAAGTTTACTCGCCAGACGCTGAATAAAATTCAACATTTGCTTGTACCCGGTGACATTGTGAGACTCATCGCCGTACATCCAGGAAACAAGTTCTTGTCCCTCTTTGGTTCCGAAGATAAGCTGAAGGCCGTCCTGGTTACCGCGCAGGACAGAAGCCAGCTTGCTCCCTGTGTAGAAGGCAAGCTTGCTAGCACCTGCGAATTCAGGATAGCTACGGTTAATATCTTCTAGGATTGTGGCACTAGACTTGTCGGTCCATGCGACTCCTGTGCGGATCGCGACCGTCCCTTCCATGTCCACAAGACGGGCTTCTTCTAGCCGTCGGTATAAGTAGTCGACCAACTCTTGATGCTGGGGGTCATGAGGAATGCGGTCAAGATGTGCTCCTGGCTGCGTGATGCGTATGTGCGAGCCTAGAACCTCGAACGCCTCTAGCGTGAGGGTGACGCAGAGCTGCATTTGGAGAGGATTGAAGTTGTGGACACGCCCACTGCAGTGATTTTCCGACAGGAACTGATCGGTTAAGGCTTTGGTTTCACCGAAAGCCTTTAGGACAATTTCTTCAGGTAAATGGAGTTCTGTGGTGTCTGTGCTGGCGCTGGTATTTGTTTCAGAAGACACATCGACCGAATCGGTATCTTGGCCACCATTGTCGGATGTAGTGTTGCTATCAATGCTCTCTTCTTGGTTATTGATGTCTAATCCCATCGCTTTCTGCACTGCAACGACAAGCTCGCGGAATGTCTCTGCCTCCATCAAGGCCGTGGCTGGTAGGGTACAGTTGAAGGCTTCTTCCAACTCTCGCGCCATTTCCATCGCCATCAAAGAATCCACGCCCGCATCTGCTATGTTATTATCATCGCGAATTTCGCTGGGGTCTACGGCGCAAAAGTCAGCCACCACCGACTTGATGCGTGCGGGCAGATCCGCATTCTTGTGTTTTTGTTTTCTATCTGCCAGTGGCGCCCGGTCGTTCTCATCCAAAGCAAGTGCTGAGGTCGCCGCAGGTGTAACGGGGTTGACCTGGGAATCGCCCAAGTTCAACCTGGCAAGGATCTTGCAGAACATCGCTTTCGGCACACGCGAGTATTTCATGCCGGTGAATATCTCCACCAATCGACCACTGCAAGGTTCAAAAACAAAGATATCGCTGATATAAAACCCATCCGATTGCTCATGTGTCGCTAAAACATCCCATGTTTCCGGTCGCGGTGTCTCCGGGTCCGCGTACAACGGCGTGCGCATCCACCGTTCCATTCCACTAGCGATATAGATTTCCGATGGCAACCGGTCTGTCATGCAATTCACCCAGAACCCGCCAACCTGGCTAAAGGAGTCGCAGAGGAATGTGTCAGCCCAAGTCTCAGCTAAATATTTCTTGACTACGCGCCCGGCGGATTCGTGCCCTTTGCCTACTAGTTTTGTCACCCCGCGATATTTCTCAGAATAGTCAACGACTTCGGAGAAGTATCGGTAGATATTGCGGCCTTGCAGCACATCATCTACATTTGGATCGTTGAGAAGTTCCTGACAGCGTCGATGATTTATCAGGCGACCGTAGCGAGCAAACTCGGAAGAAAGGTCAGCGTCGTCGGGATCAAACATTTTTATCTGGGCGACGCAATGCTCCAGTTGAGAGCGAGCACCTTTCTGGCTATCTTCGCTGATATATTTCATATCCCAGATGAATTTTTCCTTGCTCTGGCGGTGCAGCAGGATATAGACATCTCGGCTGTCAAGCCCAAGTGGTGCATCGCTTGTTACATTCCGCACTTGTGGAATCTTCCCTCGTCCTTCTGGCAGGCTCCGCAGTGCTTCTACAACGTTGTCCAGCATATGCGACGCTGGAGCAAGAGGAGTTGTCCGCGCGCCTACATGACCAGATAATGCTTCTTTGTACTTGCAGTGGGTGGTGTTGACGCGAAACTTGGCGATCAGCTGATTTTTGTCTTGATAGCCAAGAAACTCCAGTGTCTGGTCACTTTGAGAATTGATCTGTTGAGGTGTAACTATCGGCAAAGGCTTATTATCCATCCAATGTCGACTCTTCTCAAACTGATACGGCGGTAATAATATAATGCCGTAATCTGGGGTTTGGGTGAAGTGGTGTGCCCAGTACGTAGTGGGCACACCCTCTTTCCAAAGGCCTATCGTGGCGTCCGTCAAGTCGCCGACACCGTTCTGCCCGGTGATATTGACAGCTTGGAATTTATGATTCGGGCTGGAGGCCTCTAAAGCGCGACTAACCATCAGCGTAATTGTTGATCCGGAACCCGCTTCTAGCCAGAGACAAGAGGGGTACTTCGCAGCCAGACGCTCAACAGCATGGCCGAAATACACAGGGTGCCGTAGGTGATCTGCTACTATACGTTTAGGCGGCAAACCGGATACCGCATGCTCCGTCGCGCGTTCTAGGTGGATGTGCGGCTCGCTGAGCGTCAATTCCTGCGTTATTTTGTGCAGATCAGACATGAGAGGCTCAACTAATGTACTATGGAAGGCATTGGTGACATCTAGTCGCTTCCACCGGAGACGCGAGAACGTGTGGTGCGTCGTGAGAGTCTGCTGGACTACGCTTATTGCTACTGTGGGACCAGCGAGTGTGAAGCTACGAGAACCATTAAAGCAAGCAATGCCTACGGGGGCTACGCCAGTGGGTGTTGCCTTCGTAGACTGGCTTAGAAGACCGTCGATATCCACCTGGTCGCCTTCGACCGCTATCATCCCGCCGGGATCGGTGCCCCAATTATCACGGATAAGACGAGCGCGGTGGGCGATTAAGGCCAATGCATCTGCGAGAGATAATACGCCAGATACGCACATGGCTGTGAGCTCGCCGAAGCTGTGGCCAACAACGGCAGAAACGAGAACACCGCAGTCCATCCAAGAGCGCGCGCACGCGTACTGCAGTGAGAAGAGCTGTGTTTGCAGCTTAACGTGGTCTGTGATTGGGGTGTGCTCGAAGATGCTGGGATAGAGGCTGGGATAGTCAGATAGCCGAAGTAGACGGTCGCATTCGTCCAGATGGTCGCGGAACACGCGCATGGTGTCGTAAACGGTGCGGTCTAGGCCCACGAAGGTGGACACTTGGCCTCCGAAGCAGAGCACAACGGGGGATACATGCTTCTTCGGCCGGATGAACAGTATGTCCTGCCCGTCGGCTACAGAAGCTAGTTTTGCATCCAGTTCATGTATCGATGAGCAACTGAAGACAAGTTGACAGTCCAACGTCGGATTCATTTGGCGACAGGCGCTAAAGGAGATATTAGCCAAGGAAGAGGCGTGTTTTGAGGACAGTGCCTTTCTCTGCAGAAACTGCCGCAGTCGTCGCGCATAGTCGCGGATCCTAGTCTCATCCAACCCACACAACCTGAACGGCAGTGAGAGCCCGTCTCGATGCACAGTACTGACCTGCTCCCCAGACACAGGAGCCTGCGTAACCACAACGGAGGCATTCGACCCACATGCCCCATAGTTATTAATTAACGCGACGCGATACTCCTCTGCCCAACCTTCTAACGCGGTGGGAATTTTAATCATTCCATCAGCCTTGATATGCGGGTTCAACTTCTCAAAGCCAGGCTGCGGGGGGATCATCCCCTCATGGATCATCAGCAGCACCTTCACCAGCGCCACCATCCCCGACACCCCCTCTGTATGCCCTACTAAGCCTTTCACCGATCCCAGCGACAGCCTCCCCTTCCTCCTCACACTCCCAGCCATTACCTCACTGACACTGGCATACTCTGCCGGATCCCCCGCCTGCGTGCCCGTCCCATGCGCCTCCACAACCGACACATGTAGTGGATGAATCCTTGCTCGTCTCGTAACCTTTTCAAACAACCCTGCCAACGATCCCGCATGCGGCACCACGACAGGAGTACAACTATCATTTTGCTCGACGGCTGTACCAGCAATCGTTCCCAGAATATGATCCCCATCTCTGACCGCATCGGACATCCGTTTGATGAAGATCGCCGCGACCCCTTCGCCGCGGCAGTACCCGTCCGCCTTAGCGTCGAATGGTTTGCATGGCCCTGTGGGAGAGAGAAACGACGCGCCATTCAGGTTGTCAAATCCCAGCGGACTAGTGATGCAGTTCGCTCCGCCGACTAAGGCTGCCTTACAGTCGCCGTTCATGATGGCTCGACACGCATGGTGTAATGCGACAGTAGATCCGGAGCACGCCGTATCGATACATAGAGCTGGTCCGCGCCAGCCGAAGTAGTGACTCAGTTTGCCGGCGATGAAGCTCCTCAGCAGGCCTGTGGCGGCGTAGGCGCTGGCTGGATGGCAGTTGACGTTATGTTCGTAGTCCACTGTGCAACAAGATACATAACATCCTATCTCTTTAGTGATATTCTTCTTGTGAGGAAAGTATCCCGCTTGTTCCAGTGCCTGATACGCCACCTGAAGAAGCAGCCTCTGCTGGGGATCTTGGGCCATCACCTCTCGGGGTACCTTCTTAAAGAACTTGTGATCGAAGGCATCGATATCGGAGATGAAATTCCCCAACCAGGGCCGAGTCGTGGCATCTGGCCGCCACGGCGTCTCATAGTCTTTGTATCGCTCCGGAGGGAGCTTCCCATGCTGGGACTTGCCAGCGCAGAGCAACTGCCAGAACTCGTCGAGGTCGTCTGCGCCCGCGACGCGAACTGCCATTCCGACTACTGCGATATCGTCATCGTAAATGCGAGGCGGGTGCAATGGTGAGATGATTCGGGGGTAGATGTCGAGCTGGAGGTCGTCGAAGTGGATGATACGGTCGCGTAGATTGCGGTGGAAGGAAGGAGGGATGCAGCGCTCATGGCCGAATTCTATCACGATCGCGTTGGTGTTTTGTAGATGTGAGTGGTATATTGATGAGAATGTCTGGTACCACATGCACTGCTGGGAGAGGACGGATTGTAGGACAAGGCGGTGGAGGGGCCCAAACTGTATAGGCTCGCCGGTGATGTTCGGCCATGTTTGATGCTTAATCTGGGATGCATCAGGGAGCTGCAGCGTAGAATGTGCATCGCAGAGAGCATAGAGCGCATCGAGGGTATCATGGTGTCCGGACCAGTGGTATCGGCCGTTAAAGTCGATATGGGCAGCCGAAAGTCCAACGCCATGCAAGGCTTGTAGTAGGGAAGAGAGACTACTCCTCGGAGCCATAATCGTGCTACGATTATCATCATATCGAACCGTGACGTACGCCTACACAATCAGTATACCTCCAACACCCCCCCCAAATCAGAAAGACCTACCTCAGGAAATCTTCCCAGCACCCCCTCCAACACACCCTCATCCTCTCCATACCCAACAGTAACAGACGTAAACCTCCTCTCCGCCTCCATCGCATCCCCCATAACCCCAAGCAACATCGCCAACCGTACCCCAACCGCCCCCCAAACCTTCAACCCATCTAGCCCTTTCCCTTCAGCCACGGTGGCAGCCGCCACAGCAGCGCTCAAAAACCCAATACAAAAGCCCACAATCTCCACCCCATCCCCATTCCCGCCCCCTTTACCCCAATCCTGAAGTCTCAAAAACTCCCCAAACTGCACCAAATGCCCCACCATGAACAACGGCGCATGCAATACATACGGCAGGGGGAACCACTCCTCTTGAATCTGCACATTGGGACCTAAAACCCAGCGACAGAGTTCGCGGAGCTTAGTCTCTGTGTTTGGGAGGCGTTGCCGGAGACAAGGGATGTAGGTGTTGAAGTGGTGGAAATAATCTGGAAGTGAGGCGAAAGCGTCCAGCACCCAGTGATTCTCTGGATGGGAGTGGATGGTATCTCGGAGGAGGTGGAATTGGGTGGGTGTGAAGGTAGGGGATTGGCAGCCGAAGAGAAGGATTCTTGTTTTTTCTTTGGATTGTTGCAGTTGGGTGAGGAGGGTGGTATGTTGGGGATGATGATGTTGTTGTTGTTGCTGTTGTTGGGGTGGAGGCGAATTGGTGGGCATGGCGATACGATGTTGATTGATTGATGGCCTTGTTTTGGAGAGTCGGTCAATAGTCAACTAACCCGTTATCCCGTTAACCGGTTATTCAGTTGGGTAGGGCAATTGGGTGATTTGGGGAAATAGAGAAGCCACCCAAGCACTCGTATTCGTGACCCAGCCTAACTTAGCATTTGCTAGTTTGTACCCTATGAGCCAATAAGCTTGCTGAAGAGTCCAGTTATATTGAGACAGCTCGTATATCGTTGGATATGACAGACGCTTTTGCTTTTTTATGCTGGCCTTGGCTCAACGTCGGCCGGAGTTAGTTAACCGGGTTATCTCGTCGGGTAAGCGTAAGCATCACCGTATCAGCGAAATTACTACCTGCTTGTAAGGTTAGTTGAGAAATGTGTGGAAGAAATACGGTGGGTACGATACTAGAGTGAGTTTGGTCGGTTGTACGAGTGACCACGACGGGGCTTTTGTTTTAATGAGCGGTCAGAAGGGGAGGGGATATATTCTGGGCAGAGGATTGGATTGGATGGCGGGGAAAAGGACGGCGGAGTTATTGAGGGACGGAGTTTCCATAGTGGTTGGTGAGGGTTGTTACTATGGACACGGTGTAGAATAGGGGTTAGGTGTTGAATGGGTTGAAGTGGATTAAATAATGGGATTGTAAATTATATTATCTTTCTATTTGACTCACGAGAAAGTAGGTTTCTTGTTCGTCTACTTTCTCTTTCTGCTTCCTCTCTTCTGCGCTTCCCCGCCATGAACCAGCACGGATGATACCATTAGCAAATGGTATAGTAATTAACCTTTTATCAAAGTTCGCAGATGACATATCGCAACTGCTTCGAAAATCCAATCAATGTCCAAAGAATGAAACCCGAGTACTCCCCGCTTATCCCAGTCCGACCAGTCGACTACACCAAACGCACCCGTACCATACCCTAACCCCTTGAAAAGAATGACAAGATCAAACTGAAACAACACAACGAAAGAAATCAACGATAGATGTTATTGAACCGACAACGGCGGACTCTGCACGGGATTTTTCACCCTATCGAGATCATGCAGGCTCTCGACCAGGTCATGCATCATCATCTCGAACGACGGATCGAGGTACCCGTGCGACGAGAGGAACTCGGTGCACATCATCAGAGGGATCGGCGTAAGGGGATGCACCTATGACCATTAGTTTCTAGCTCCACTACCAAAGGGGCATGACGAATTACCTTAAAGTACCCCAGTTGCCCCTGCATCTTCACCAACCCCACTACTTCGTGTGCCGCCAGGACACATACCCGCTCAAAATCAATGATCCCCAGCAAGTGATCCCCGGATTTCCAGGTAATGCTCTCGAGCACACTGTGCAGGAACAGAACCATGCTTTGGGCCACGATGCGGGCGAACATCAGCATGGGATCAACATGCGGATAGCTGGACAAAGTGGCAATGCGGTAGGTGAGCAGTTCGTGTAGATAGTTGTGTCGCGTCCAGAAGTTGTCCGAGGGGAGATGAGTGAAGTTGGGCGGGTGGATTTGTTCGACGGCTACGGTTTGGCGGTGGGTGAGAGCGCGGCCGACGATGGTGGCGATGAGGATGAGTTCGGTGAAGGAGGAGAGCGGATCCGGGAGGCCGAGGGTCGGAGTGGCAGTCGGAGTAGGTGGTGGGGGGTGAGGGAGAAGAATTTGAGAGTGAGAGGATCGACCAAAGACAGTGGGAGAGGGCATGGTGGTTGCAGTGGGAATAGGAGAAGTAGGGGCAGAAGGAGACATGACATCGGACAGGTAGGATGTCAGGGTGGGCTGTCCAGCTTGGAAGTCTTCTTCCGGGCAAGGGAGGCGTGTAGTGATCTACTTCATTAGAAGTGTTCGTAATCAGGAATAGAAGAGGGCACTCACCAACTGTTCATCCAAGGTGAACGGCAACCCGTTGTGGAAACTGATAAACCGGTCCAGACTGTAGGCCATCCAGAACGTCCGGCGTTGCTCCTCCAGCCCAATCCAGTCCACCAGCACCGTCTCGTGCTCGCGCGCCATAGTCACTGGACTATTCGGGTCATCCAGCTCGTACAGTCGCATCCCCAGGACCAACCGGCAACATCGCCCCGTACTCATCCATGCCTGCAGCGGCGATTGCTGCATGTACTCGTAGATGCAAACGAGGATCCAAGCCTGTGCTGGCTCGATCCCGGGCGCCGTATCCGTAGGGGGTCCTTGGAGGTCCAGCGAGTCGAGCATCCGGCGCGTCTCTGCATACAACCGGTCGCGGAGAGACTGAAATTGGGCCGACATACTGGCCGCCAGCGTCCACATGGCATACTGAAGGCAGGTTTGCGCTTCCGTCTTCTTGGGCTGCTTCGCCCAGGTGTGGTAGCGCCAGCGTTGCAAAATAGGGGCAAAAGGGTGCACCCGATCAAAGTAGAGTTGGTCCCTGCACAAGTTAGTGGACATTCCAAACAATCCAAGAGAAGCGTACAGATCGGCTCGCATCAAGTCAGACACGAGGCTGGAAGGCCGGTTCGGAGATTCGGGCGATCGCGGAGATCGCGTCCCAGTCCGGCGGTCATGGTCATCACTGGACTGATCGGGCATCGTGCCTGACATCGGATCGGGCAGCGGAGGCAGGTCTCGTAGCGGATCTTCTTCACTGTCGCAGTCAATGACCGTGCCCTCAAAGATACTGGCCATCTGATGGTTGATTTCGGGGTGTTGGTCGGCCAGACATCGTTCCAGTGCGGCTGAGACGATTAGTCTCTGTCTTTGGGGTCGTGTATTTAGAGCACTACCTACCAATGCGTGTGCGAAGGGTCCGTAATTGTCCCTTGCGGGGTCCCCGGGGTAGCCTTGTCGTATTAATTTTGCACTCGATGCCCGTCTCGAAGCAGACCTGACACTGGGGACGTCGTCGGTCACAGCGAACCTTGCGACGACGACATTCCTCACAAGCGGATCCCGGTCGCTGGCGGGAGATAGTAGGAGTAGAGACCATCCTAGTGGTAATGGTCGAAGGGGGTGAAGAGACAAACAGAGAGGAAACTTTCAGTTCGCAGAGGGATTGGGGCTGGGGTGGAAGTGTGGCCTAGCACTTATAGCCTGTAGGAGTCGAGGCTGCAGCGGCAACACACCAGTAAAAATGAGAGGAACAAACAGGAGCAGGAGCAGCAACAGCTTATGTGATGAACAGGCGCCGCCGTGATAAGATCCAACGAAGAGGATCGACCCGCGATAGCGTGCTGAGAGGGGGGATGGAGACGAGAAGGTTGGCAGGCGGCAAAAGACCCAGTGGGCAAGAAATGCAGTAATGGAACCACCGTGGCTTGCTTTGCTTTTGTCTATTAAGCTCATAGGCACGGTCAGAGGCCCGCCATGGAGGGGATCTGCTGTACGATCGTGTGATACTAAGTGCCAGGCCTGCAGCTGCAGCAACCTGCAGTGCAGCAAGCAGCTCGCATCCAACAATAGGCCAACCAAGAAAGCAAGAGACAGACCCTGACGTCTGGCCTGGTTGTCAGTTGGACGGGTTCCTACTGTGAGCAAGGCACAGCAGCTTCTCGCCGGGTGACAGGAAGTTGACGACAGAAGTTGGCAGCGGATTCTGCCGTCCCTCAAACTATTGTCTCTACGAGTAATTGTCTTGCCAATTTGGGAGTGAATAATCGTCCTATTTCCCGGGGGATCCACGATAAACTGGAGCCACCGACATCATGCTATCAGTGGGAACAGACCTCCAAGGTGATCTCCGACTACAAGGCTTCTGGATGGGTAATCAGCCAGCCACAGGGACCACTGCACACGAGCTGCTCTAGTGGATTCACAGACTGCACGAGGTGCAGAAGTACCGGGCCCATTGTTCAGGGCCAGACCCACCGGTGGTGCAGGAGAGATGCTGATTGCAGGGAAGGCCAGAGTAGCAGAGCGGATGCAGTGAGAAAGCAGGAGAATAGTAGCCAACCTGCTGTCCACCACACCGGAGAGAAGAGAGGAAGGAGCAAAAGAACCACCCAGTGATTCGTGTGTCAGAATGGCAGCTGCAGTTCATTCAAAGTCTGTGAGGGACCGTCCGACCTGAAGAAATGGCGAGTTGTGCGACCCACGGAAAATAAGGACAGGATACGTGGTGATTTTGTCAACAAGTGGAGGCGAAAGTTCTGTCGGGATGAGCTTTGGTTCATCGCTAGTGGCAGGATCCGCACCGATAGATCAGAGACTGGAGGATCCGCTCGGGCCAGCCGGTCGGATGGCGCCATCCTGATTGGCGTGCGTGCAGAATCGAGATCCGAGCGATGAGTCGTCTGGCATAAATGAGCATTATATTAAATTTCGGTGGATTTTAGCGTAGTGGGCGGTGGAAGCTGAGCGAAGGTGCAAAGTTTGTGATTCTGGTGACCATTTCAGGGCTGGTGGCGTCCCCTATTCGTCTTCCCCGTGGACCCCCATCCACTGCTGGTTGCATTACAATTACCACTGCTGCAACCTGGTCCCAACTGACTGGCAACTAATTCTAGACGAGACCAGTCTTACTGGAAATGGCTAATTGATAGAATAAGACAGCCAAATCGGGCCGAGATCGATCAGCCCGTGGATCACCAGCTGAGGATCGCCTGCAAAATGGAGCCACTATTGATGCTTGCTTTTTGCCAATTCGGACGGGCCGATACTGGCGCCAAAATGGCGGATCCTTCAGAAGAAAATGCCACCATGTCACTGAGGGAAATTAGACGAGGCATAATGCTACCAAAAGTGGTAAAATCACAGAGAGAGAAAGGGACAATGCGCACAGAGCAATGGATTAATCCGTTCTGCATGCGAGTTGACCGTCCCTACAGCTGCCATGCTGGAAGGGATTCAGAACCAAACTGCCTGGCACCGGCCATCTGACTGTGAAACTGGTTGGCAGTTCGTGAAACTTGCCTGTGACCAGTGATTTCTCTTATTCGTAGTGTTTATGCATTATTTATACAAGCGTGGTCGCGATGGCAATCCACCATTGACAGCCGGGCTTGACATCAACCCTATCATCACTGTCATCAAGAGCAATCAATCTAGCAATCAATCGCGATACAATTGACAAATCGCCATGGCTCACACTCAGGACATTCTGGGCCAGTTGCCCCTCCTCCAGTCCTACACTCACGCCATCCTCTGTTTCCAGCTCGCCTCCAACACCACTCCCACCATTGACCTGGAATCCGCCGTGCAGCGGCTGCTAACCCTGTTCCCCATTCTGGCAGGCCAGGTCATCAAGACGGGTGCCTCACCCACCTCGTCCGGTGCCTACCAAGTCGTCCCTTATCCAGTTCGCAAATTCCCCATCATCCGCTACGTCGACCATCGCTCGGATCCCCAAATCCCCAGTTATAACACTCTGCGAACGGCACATTTTCCCTTCAACCAAATGCCAAGCACCCACTTCTCCCCTCCCCACCCGGTCTTCCCCATCCCCTATCCAGACACTGAACCCGCCCCCGTGCTCGACATTCAAGCCAATATCCTGAATGGAGGATTCCTACTCACCCTAGCCGCACAGCATAACATCATCGACGCCAGCGGCATCTTTCAAATCGCCTCGCTACTGGCCCGTCTCACGCGGGGCGAATCGATCCCAAAGGCCGAGGTCACCGAGGGCAACTTGGACCGCCGGGATCTGATTCCCCTGCTGGATGACAGCCAGCCCCTCCGCTACGACTACTGCGAGTATCTCCCTTCGTTCATGCCGAAGATCCCCCCTAACCTGACAGCACTGTTCCCCACCTTCCAATGGGCTTATTTTCACTTGTCCAGACGGGCCGTCGAGGCGATCTACGCCGAGGCCGCCGTCGCCTCCCCATCACACAGCACCCCTGTGCAGATCACCCCCAATGATGCCCTCACGGCATTTATCTGGCAACGACTAACGCTTACTCGTCTCCACCACTCCCCTAGCCCGCTCGCTGCTACTGACGTCTCCAAAATCTCCCGTGCCATGGACCTCCGTCGCACTTTGCACCTCTCCCCAGCCTACATGGGGCACATGATTCGTACCGCTACCCTGCGTCTCCCGCTGGGCGAGATCACCTCGCTGCCGCTGGCTACCCTGGCTGCGAAGCTTCGGGACCAAGTTGCCGATCTACGCACGCTGGATGCTGTGCGCGATTACGCTACGTTTCTAGCGCGGCAGCCAGACAAGAGCAAGATCGCCTACAGCGGAGGCGGGTTTCAGCTGGCTACGGATTTGAGTTGCTCCAGTATCGCCCATGTGGACTATGACCGGTTGAATCTGGGAGGTGCAATAGGACGGTGCGAGGGAGTCCGTCGCCCAGGAGGCGGGGTATTGCCAGGCGGTTGCTATATCGGACCGGCGGGGGACTGGTACGGTAGTGTGGGAGATGAGGAATCTCGTCAAGAGACGGGAATAGAAGTGCTAATGTGTTTGGATGGATGGGAAATGGAGGGGCTGAGAGAGGATGAGCGGTGGAGAGAGTGGGTGGAGTATGTTGGGTGATTAGTATACGTGCCATGATAGTAAATGATAACGAGATAGACATGACTCGCGATCTACAGTAGTTCGAACTCAATTGTAGATAACACAGTAACCCTCCAACAGTATGGGGGATATCTCTACACCCATCCATTTCTGTTGCCTCCCTGCCTTCAACATCCCATCGCTGCTTCTGCCTCTCCCAGCACAATCACCACCATCTACGAAGCGAAGTAGAATTAAACTGCTCACCCCAAATATGACGCCTCACACTCCACCTGCAACATGCAACATGCACATCAACCCCCACTCCAATCCCACTCCTAAACTCCGTAATCGGCACTCCCACGAGCAGAAGCAGAGCCAGAGCAGAAGCACAGTTCACCCCCTGCCCCGGGCTCTACACTACACAGTACATACTTATCTGACCTGACCTCTCCCCTCCGTCAGTCCGGTAATACCCTCCATTTTCCTAACAATAACCCATGGAAAACCCCGGTCCGTCCGTCAACCGAACTCCCACATTCATATCCCCGAACACACAAACCAGACACACACAGTGTAACAACCCATCCAGAAATAAAGACTTCCGGAGAATTAAACCACCACATATTGACCCCTCAGATACCAGCTAAGCATTTAGAATTAGAAATTTGTAAACGCCGTTTCATCTTCCCGTCTGTCCGCCCGTACAATATCTTCCGTTCCTTGGTTCATTTATTTGTTTGTTCCGTCGCCGCCCGCCCGTCCGCCCGTACGGCCCGGACCGGACCAACACAACACAACTCACACCATAGCATGACAATAACAGAGTAATTACCTTCAGGGGTGCATTTGTGCAACATGGGAAAAAAGGAACAGGTGTGACAGACATGGATGATGGTGAAACGGGTTTCATGTTGAAGAGAAATCACTCAGTTAGTGCATGGGACACACCACCAGGAGACTAGTACTAAGTAGTAGTAAGTGATCCGGAATATATTTCCAGCGGAGAATCTTCACGCTTCGGTTCAGAACATCACTGGCACTCTTTCTGGCAATTGTACCACAACGACAACCATAACCAGCCGAAGAAAAGACACGAGTACTGATAATAGGATTGGAGATATTCCCAACCCGACCAACAACATTAAATTCCCCTCCGAGCAAAGATATTCCTTCATCCGGGAACTCCATCCTTGCCTGTACTCCAGTTTCTGTGCAACACCACAACCAACGGAAGAAGGGAGGGAACTGCGGACTGTGTGACGTCGCACAAGAACTAAGCTAAGATGCTGGTCCTGGTTCAATTCAACAAAACCGGTTCGTGTAGGTATTGGTTTGGTTCCTGGGGTACATACATATTGTGTTACTATTAATCTGTCAGTAGTGTTACACTGGTTTTAGCTAGGACTGGGATGATGGGGATGCTTAACAGGGTTAAGCATTCCTTGCTTACTTACTAACTAGTTGTTGACTGGGTAGGCATGTAGATACTATCAGTATTGCAATAGTAGCTCACTAATTGTCATTGCCATCTAGTAAAGAATAAACCACTCCATACAACCCAAAACCAGAAATACCTCAATCAATCAAACAATCGGATGACCATCAACCACAACCACCATGTCCACAGACAACAAAATAGAAATCGCCATCATCGGCTCCGGCCTAATCGGCACCCTCCTCGCCCTAGGCCTGCTTAACATCCCCATCTCCACCACCGACTCAAACCGAACAACCCTCCGCATAAAAGTCTACGAACAATCCGCCACAACCCACGAACTCGGCGCCGGAATCGGCTTCACGACCTGCGCGCGGAAGTGCATGACGCTCATGGACCCGCGCATCGCGGAGTGCGTAGCGCGCGTAGCGACACTTAACGGCGAAGTGGAAGATCCAGATTACTGTATGCGGTTTGTGGATGGGTTCAGGACATATACGGGGGGTGATTGTTGGGGGACATCGAAGGGTGGGGAGGGAGGAGGTGTGGATGTTAGGGGGATCGGAGGGGATCGTTATCCAGATAGATTTGAAGATAATAATAATAATAATAGGGGAGGCGAAGATGAGGGTAACGGTGTGCACGTCTCCGGAAAAGTCTACAAGTTGTATGCCGGCCCGAGAGGGTTTGAAGGATGTCATCGGGGGCAGTTTCTCGATGAAGTGATGAAACTTATGCCTGAGGGTGTAGTGGAGTACAATAAGCGGGTGGAGGGGTATGAGTATCTCCCTTCAGGAAGGATACAATTGCGGTTTAGTGATGGGGGCAGAGTGGAATGTGATCTTGGTATGTACTTCGTCCCATCTATAATTCATCCCTAGCTACATGATATTGATGAAGTATGATAGTCCTCGCCTGCGACGGCATCAAATCCCTCATCCGCACCCATCTCTACCCGGGGACAGAACCCCGATACACCCATCAATTCGCCTTCCGGGGCTTGGTACCCATGTTCACTGCAATCAGCAAACTAGGCCGCTACAGCGCCCTGCGACAACATATGCACTGCGGGCCACGAGCACATGTGCTGCATTTCCCTGTCGCGAAGCAGCAGCTCATGAATGTCGTTGCGTTTGTGCAGGACCCGAATGACTGGGTGCAGTCCGGCATGACGGCACCAGCGAGGAAGAGTGAAGTCGTGGACGCGTTCAGGGAATGGGGTCCGTTTGTGCGCGCTGTAATTGATCTGCTGCCTGAGGAGCTGGATAAGTGGGCTGTCTTTGATACTTATGACAGTCCGGTGCCGAAGTATGCGGACGGGAGCGTGGCGCTGGTGGGGGATGCGGCGCATGCGTCGTCGCCGCATCATGGAGCTGGAGCGGGGATGGGGGTTGAGGATGCGTTGGCGCTGGTTACGGCTATTAGGAGGGCGAGGGAGGATGTGGATCGCGGGGTGGAGGTGAATGGGGCATTGGAGGCGGCGGTGAGGGCGTATTCGAGGGTGAGATATGAGCGGTCGCAGTGGTTGGTGAGGAGTAGTCGCGAGGTGGGATGGACGTATGAGTGGATGGACGAGAGTGTTGGGGCGGATATGGATCGTGCGTTTGCAGATATTAAAGAGAGGAGTCATCGGGTGTGGTATTTTAATGTGGATGCGATGGTGGCAGAAGTAGAAAGACAATATCGTTGGTGTTTGTGGAACTAGCCAGTGTACGCAGTGATGGAATTCTAGGGTATCTATTTACACACCCTTTCTTAACATCTCTTCTAGGACGGGACTGTGTGTCCTCTCGTATGCTTCCCGAATGTACTCCTCATCCACTGAAAATGGTCGAGCCATTACATTCGGTATGTACCGTCGCAGTGCTTCCAGATCCACGTTTCCCTCCAGAAACCCCGGTCGGAGCAAGCACTGTCGGAACCGATCCACAGTTGACCGCAGGTGACTCGAGTGGAAGGGCACGTCGATACCTTCTAATGGAATCGTGGCTTGCCCTCGTCGAAGCTGTATCGGTGGCGATAATTCTCTTGCCTTAGAGAGTAGCCGATTGATTATACTGTCATGGTTTAACTCCAATCCATCGGACTGAGAGATGTAGTCCAGCATCCGCCCAAGCACACAAAGATTGGTCACCTAACACATTAGCATTCACAACGCAAAGAGGCTCGAATACTCACCGTCCCTGAACACACGTATTGCTCACCGTCAATATTATAGTTGACTACCTCGAGAAGCTCCTCACTAGCCAGACCGATCCTTTGCACCAGCCTACTCAAACCTGCTTCATCAAAGACTGACCAGTCAGCCGAAGTTCAGCCTGTAGCCGCCTCGTATCACTTACATCGTAACACACGCTTAGGATTGACCGCCACCATTCCGTACGCATTCCCGTTGTCCCCTGCCACAGATGCCTGCATCATGAGTCCCCGGTAAAACGCCAACTCTGCCAAAGCTCCCATGGGAATTGAATTGGACAGAGCAGACAACGCCCCGAATTCTCCCAACGAATGACCCGCATACATTGCATCTGGTGATATGTAGCCCCTGCTTCGGAGGTCGGCTACTGCCGCTGCCTCAAATAGCAAAATCGCCGGTTGGGCGAACTGGGTAGAGTATAACAGTCCCCGTGAATCAGTGAATGTGTAAGAGGTCGAACATGGACTGAGCCCCTGCAGAACAGGGGTCTCCACACGGGATCCATCGGCGAGCACTGTCTCTGTAGTGATGGCGAGATAATTCTGTCGGATTTGGCGGCCCCGCTTGCCTCCGAAGTGGACGGTAACCGACTTTGGATTGTTCTTGACAATGTCCAAAACAGACCAGCCTATTTCCGTAAGCGTTTGTCACAGCATCGGCAGATTACGTACCATACGACGCAAACAATTGCGCATCAATCTCATCCCACAAAGCTTTGGCCACCGGACTTGACTGGTACAGATCCATGCCCATGCCCTTGCTCTGGCTGCCTTGACCAGTGAAGAGATAAGCGGTTGCAGGCTGGTCAATCACGGCTTCTGCTTCCAACACTTTTTCTTGGCTATCTTTCCGGACAACTTCAACTGTCAATCGCATGCGCCCATCGATCATTCCAGTATGTTGTATATGAACGACCAGCTTTTCCAGTGGCATAACCATTCCGGTAAACTTCGCTGCAAACTGTCGAAGACGCGAACGATCACCCCCGAGAGCTAGGTGCTCCAATGCCGCTACCGCAACTGCCGAGGTACTCATTCCGTGACATATTGTGCCCGGGAGATTTGCCAGGGAGGCAAAAATGGTCGACACATGTATCGGGTTGTAATCCGTGGATATCTCAGCGTATGCTTGATTACTGACTGGCATTTGGATATCGATAGATGAGGGACCAATCCACCCTGGCTTGTCTAGCATCGCCTGCTTGCTCACTGGACCCCCTCTGCGCTCTAGAAATTGCAGCACTGGATTTGCAACACACTGAGCGCATTCGAAGTCAACAAATCCGACCTCCTGACCAGGAACACCACCATCATCCAAGCAAGCGGTTCCGGTCACACGAAGGCTCTTGAAACCACTCTCCTTGTCCACTTCATGAGTCTCTATACGGAAGACAAGATCTCTGCCTACAAGATTTGTGGCAGTATCGTGCAGCTGAAACCACGGGCGACGCCGCAGGACCGTTTCTTCCAGAGCTGACCTGATATGGAGTGCCCATTGTGTTTGTTCCCGTCTGAATGTCGACTCCGAGCGGAATGAACCTCGATACAGAAACGTAGATGTGATCTTCATGACCGCTTTTCCCGATCGGATAATTTGGGCTTCAATAACAACCACCTTGCCTGCATCCTCCACATACACAGCTTGCACCCGCGACCGACAGCTGACACCATCGCCAACACGTAATGTATCTGCACTGGCACAGTAATCGAATATATTAGAACGGTGAACCAGAAATAGCAAATTACCACCGATCTCTCCAGTTACCAAAGGTTTGGTGATAACGTCCCACGCAATGACTATCCCAGCGCTGATTGGCAGGATATCCGAGTTTGTTTTGATGAGCCGGGAATCCGGAAATGCCGGACCCACCGCGGCAATCAAATCATCCAGCAGTTCGCGTGTGAGGATCCTTTCCCGACCGTGGTAAGTCTCCTGAATGCCAGTGTCGGCCTTCTGCATCCAAAGACTGCTATAAAAAGACCTCGCACGTGCATTGCGCTTCGAGGTGATCTCAGTAAGCGAGAACGGGATGCCTTTGGGATCATACATGTACACCAACTGGAGTGGATCAGAGACTTGAGGAGGGTAGAGATCTACTCTAATCTCGAGGCCATCGAGACACGACACTTTCATGAGAGAAGTAGCTCCGCACGCATCCTGAACAGTCACACATGCCTCTGAATGCTCAGCATTGTATTGAACCTTTGTGTCCGGGTACGATGCGATGAACTGCTGAAATGGATTCTCTTGGCGACGTCGATTTCGAAAGATGAGATTGTCCTCGAAAAAGGCCCGTAGCCACGGCGGCAAGTTCCCGCCCTTTGCAATGACGGCACTCACTGAAAGGGAACGGTCATCCGTAGTCTCCGAAGCTGTGGATGAGAGGGCGAGCTCGTCCATAGCAATCTCCTTGGCACCCGATACTGAGGACCAAGACTCTGGCGTGACCAGTCCGCTGCCTGGACTAGGCGAAGAGGTGTCGGTACCTCCATCACGCTGCATACGTTCAACAAGGCCACTCATTATATTGTCCAAAATTTCTTTTGCCGACTCGTCCTGCCGAACGGAGTATTGAGCTGCCACCGGGCCCTGTAGGATGCAAACTCGCTCAGCATCCTGGTCGACAACAGCATCAATATCCTCTGCCTGCCAAAGTGAATCTTTCTTGAAATAGAACTCAAAGTCATCATTCAAAGCAGGTATGAAGTTGACTGGCTTCTGGTTTGGAATTTTGCTCCTCATCAAGAAGAAAGAAACATCCTCTGGATTCATGATCTCGTTGGAAGCACTAGGACACGCGACGGTGAAGGCGTCGAGGAACTGCATCGGAGTGTCGGATAGAACTAATCGTGTGAGGTCTGAGTCGAGGGTAGCAACACGAGTTAGGCGCTCTAATGCTCGAGTGGCCATGGCCATGGTAAAGTCAACATATGATGGGTCAATCCACCGTTTCTGGTGGTTGACATACATCAACTCCACCATACGACGCAAAACTTCAGTGTGAGTCATGTCATCCAGGTCCACTATGTCACCTAAACTGTTGCGGCCAAACCACGGCTTGGCAAATTCAGCATTCAAGCGCTGTATTATCGAAGTCCGATGCTTTTCCAGGTATGCGATGCGGTCTTTCCGAGGCAGACTGAAGACAGTTTGATCCATATCTGCCCATAACATCACACCTTTGGTTGCAATCTTGTGGATGGGCTCGCCCATTTCTGACTGTACCGTGATAATTCCACCAGCCGGTCCAGAGTACGTTTTCTCCCAGTCGCAGTCAGGAACACCAGGTGTCCTGAAGATAATGTCCTTGACAGAAGATGAGGTATGCGCTTCTCGAGCTACCATCAAACGACTTCCCAGTAGCACACCATCAAAAGGCATGCACGGATAACCCAATGGTAGTGACCATTGCCCAGTTATGTAAGGGTATATACTTTCACTATCACCAAACCCACTTCCAGCTACTAGATACATATTATGCTGCTGTCGAATAGTCGCGTAAGTACTGAGTATCGGAGCGTGGAAGCCCTCGAACGAGTGATGGCCTCCGCCACGTCCACCTGTCCATTGCAGTATGACTGGAAAGTCGGGATGTGCTTTGGCAATGTCAATCACCCGTCGAATGCTTGAAATCGATCCTGGCTTGAAGCTGATATGGCGCAACCCTAGAGTCCGAATATACTCCGATGCTATCTCCAAGGAGGGAACACCAGCTCCAATTGTTATACCATCGATAGGCACGCGATCATGAGACAGTCGACGTATAAATGCAATCTGCCACCGCATGGCTTGGGGCTTAGCATATATAATGTTGCAGGTGATACCGCGACCGGCGGGGATATGAGCAACAAGGTCATTGATTGCGGTAGTCATGTCAGAGCTGTCCCTGTAGCCACCTCCGGCAAGTTCTGCATGATATCCAGCATTCATTATGGCAGAAACAAAGTCCCAGTGAACAGTAGTGGGTGTCATACCAGCTACAACCACCGGAGGGGTACCCAAAAGGCTAGAAATCCGCGTCCGTACAGATCCTGCGGTCAGACGCGGTCGAAACTGTTGAGCCCAGCTAAGAGGCCTCAAAGACGAGTCGAGCAGGCGCGGAGAGAATAGATCTCGCATGGTACCTATATCAGAGTCACGAGACTCAAGATCGCCACCTTGAATAACGCGGACGCCCTTCCCTTCCACAATTCGTTGAACCATCGGTCCAAGTCCACCGCGATCAAAAACGATGATGTGCGATGGTGACATACATTCTTCTCCAGATAAAGCTGCGGGCCAATCGCAATTCTCCCGAGCAATGGCATTGAAAATGGCATGCAGTATATTCTCATAACCGTTCCGCAAATCCTCTCCAGTGGACGTGTGGTAGACGGGAATTTTCAGTTGCTCTTTCGCGATGTATTGCCTTAGGAACCGCGACTTCAAGGCTGTGACAGCTTTCGCAAGGTATTCCGTATGAAATGGGGCACTGATTGGTAGAAATCCATGTTGAATAGCCGGCTTCCGGCTGCTAAAGGGAACCCGACTAGTATCAGTGTCGGGGCCTTTCATGCTCTGGAGCTGACTATCCATATGCACCAAGGATGCAATTGGCCCTGCCACCACAAAATGGTCATGCCCATTAACCAAGGCTAGTTGGACATTGTCATCTCGCGGTAACGTCTCATTCAAGCGATCTAGTATACACCCTAGCTGCTCCCTAGAAACACCTCGCACATTAAGCATATATGATGGCGCGATGCTTGTTTCATTAAGGGCGGACGCGGTGACCCAAGAATAACCATTGGGCGCATTTTGGTGACATTCCAAACCAAGCCAAAACAAAGCTTCAACTGCAAGATGAGAGTTCGTATAGAATGTGTCCCAGGTGTCAGACACGGATATGACTGCAGATATCAATAAACCTTGTGAGTGCCCGGTAGTTGCAGAAAAAGTCGCACGTAGCTGCCCTGGGTCCATGTGCAGAACCCGGCAGGTCACTGTATATCGTGCCAGGCTCAGCAGCCCGATAACAGGAACACTGACTGGAGCCTGGGCTATGTAATCACATTCTGGGATAAGAGATACGTCGCTGATCCACGTCATCAAGTCCAGTGACTGTCCACGGCGACTGAACCAGGAATCCGGAAGCCTAGAAAGTTCAGAAAGTAAAGTAGCAGTCTGCTGAATGAAAGACTCCAGCAGAGGCCTATATGCGGCGTATAGGTCTGCCAACTCCTGCACACATGTCCGACTCGCCTCACCTTGACCACCAAATACGGCCATTAGGCGGTACCCACTAGCCTGCACATGGTCTAATAAAGCGCTGCCCCTGGAAAGGTTGCGCGAGGCTGTACATGTTAGATCACCACTGGCCTCAACAGCATCATAATAGATCCTTAACCACTTCTGCCGTTCGCTAGCGACCGTAGTCAACTCCGCGATGAGGCAATGTATCTCGTTATCGCCGTGCAAGAATTCGGCCTCAAAAGCTCGCAATACAGCTGCTAGTGAATACCTGGAAAGCCCTTGCTGGGCAAGAAGAAACTCAATGAAAGCCAAACATAACAAGGCTGAATCCTGCGAGATGTTGGGATGAGAAGAGAAGTGCGATATAAACGCCGTTCTATATGACTGGATGCATGGAAAGTGCTTGATAGGAATCGGTAAAACTAGCTTGCTGTCTATAAGATCGAAATAAAGGTCAACTGTAACAGAACGAGCTGGAGATGACGTATCAGACACTGGTGGCGAGGGCGAGAGAGCAGCGCACATGGCATCTGCCGGTGCTGAATATGCCACACCCGTGGGGGAAATCTCAAGTGCCATGCCGACCTCGCTATTTTGCAAGATTCAGCCTGTTATTAATCTTCAGTGATTCATTTTGAAGCATATCATAGTCCACTCGTTGATTCATCACTCTGGAGTCGGGGGTAGACTTCCGTGCAGCACACACTAGTCCATCCTTTGCGTTGTCGATGGCGCTCCTAGTCAGTTCGAGATCGCGATATGGGGTCAGACTCTTTCTGCGGTAATTTTCTCCACTAGCGTGTAGATGCATTGCTGATCCGGGGTAGTCAATGACGGGAAACAGCCCACTTTCTCCTGCATAATCATATTGAAACCCTTCTGCCTGGCCGGAGTCTGGCCAGGCCCAGCCCTACACCCACACTTGCTCTCCCCGGAGTTTCGCAGACGGAGTTTTAGTGCCTAGCCACCCGGAGGCTTTTGACACGTCAGGTTCCCTGTGACTGGTTGGAAATAGACTCCGGTAGAAAGGAGGCCAGGAGACCTGGTACTTTTCACCTCCACATCTGGCAGCCTAGATGTCGATGTACATGAAGTGCAGTCGTCGGGGGTAGTCTTTCTATACTCAGATCTCGACCAGGCGGTAGTGGCTCCGGTATTCGCCTATTACCAGGATGGTCCCTATCGAGAACGTAATGGGTCGATTTTTCTCTCATGCGCCTGCTCCGAATCTGAATCTCGCAACGCTCTAAGACTTCTAGCAAGGAACCCACAAGCACCGACTTGATAACCTCTCCACCTATCGAGCTTGTTTCCATGGCTCCCAATGGGATAGTAGGTTCACCCCCTCACAGCAAGGTAGCCACCAGGCATGAGGAGAAAGATTTGGCGTACAGGTTATTCATCGAGCTACTTGCGTAGGTTCCCTGACTCTCCTAAGCATAAGTGCGATATATTGAACGCAGCTCGTAGGTATCAGCTAGCATCTCCAGTAAGATGGTGAGTTTCATTTCCCACTAATTTGCGATTCAGCCATTGACAATGCTCAGGATCGAAACACAGAACGAGCTTCTGCGGAGACCATCGCCAGTGCAGCGGTTCATCGAGATTGGCCCGCGGAGTACGCTCACAAGGATGGCTAAAAAGTCCGCTTCTATACATCATGATCAACATACTCCATCGCAGTGGTCGCATTTGCAATTTCTTTCGTATCAAGATAATCGGAACAGAATACTCTATGAGTATTCAGACCCTGTGCGGCTGCCATCCACCATTCAACGGACAACCTCAGCATCGACTTCAGCTCGTTTGGCCGTTGCCTTAGAAGGCTCTCAATCTGATGGAGAGTCAGAATCAGTAGCAGCATCCCTGGCCTTCACCCCTATTAAGACTTCTGCTCATGTACCCAGCGCCAAAGTTTCACTTTCGGCGCGTCACATTCTCTTAGCGATCACGGGTCAGAAGTTGCGATGCTCTTTCGATCAAGTGCCAATGGACACGACGATCCGGAATTTGTCGGGAGGTGTGTTCCATTAGTATAACTTCATGGTCAACATACTGACTTCTCCAGGAAAGTCCACTCTTCAAAATGAGCTGATAGGTGATTTGGTCGCCGAGTTTGGCCGCGTCCCGGAAGGCATAGAAGATATGTCCTTGGCTAACCTAGTGGAAGCACTTCAGGGACGATTTTCGGGCAAGCCTGGGAAACAGATGTCGGCATTGATATCCAGGTTTATATCAAGCAAAATGCCGGCAGGATTTAACCAGAGATCGGCACAGATGTACATGCATTCAAAGTGGGGCTTGGAGGGCCCTGATGGAATGATTCCTATATGCCTTGCCATTACTGTGCAGCCGCCATCTCGTCTGGCGGATGCAGGGGCCGCGCATGCATATCTGGACAACCTCGTTGGTCTATACGCAGAGTTCGAAGGGATAACTATGTTGCCAACGCAGCCACGACTGGATAACGAGAATGGATACTCGGAGCCCACTTTTATAGATGCAGTGGCGCTCAGTGCACTTCGAAAGGAACAACAAGATCTCCAACACAAGCAGCTGAAATTGCTTGCTGATCATCTAAAGATGAAGCCTGGCGATCTCGAGGATTCGGCACAGCCGGTGGATCATAAATCAGATTTGCAAGAAAGTTTAGACCAGTGGAATGCAGAATTCGGCGAGGATTTCCTACAAGGCATCCGACCTAGCTTTAATCTCCAGCAAGTCAGACACTATGATTCTTCGTGGAACTGGGCCCGTGAAGACCTGCTTAAGTGGATATATGCGATTTCACAGGGATCTAAAGACGCGGTTCTTTCAAGAAAAGGTGGTCGCCTACGTCGGATTCTGAATCGGTGGGACCCTGGCTGCACGGATATCATCCTACATCGACTGGAGGTGTCAGCATCCACAGCTTGCGAGATGAAAGGCCATATTGTGATGTTGAACCAAGTCCTGAAGTTAGGAATTCGGGCTCAAGCGACTGACCCTGTACATATCCACACATTGCCCCCTTTGATGCCAAGTATCAGTATCCGCAGCTCAGGACGTTTGGAATATACGGAAACAAGTCGCTCGGTATGCAGCTACGCGGACGTAATCCGCCGAGGTCATCTTTCTCGTACCGGTATCAAAGCGCCCACCCCTTTTGTGCATATTAGAACACGCAACGTCGATGAGGACTGGACGTACGACGCAAAAGCTACCGAGATGCTTCATCAAGTGATGGATGCTGGCCTCACCACGGGTTTCAGTTATGTTGGTAAAACAGTCCTTGTGACAGGTGCCGGTCCTGGTTCCATTGCTGTAGAGATTATCCAAGGGCTTCTTGCCGGTGGTGCAAGGGTCCTTGTCACTACAAGCCGTGCAATCTCCACGACCGCTAGGTTCTACCAGAGTCTCTTCAGGAAGTACGGAGCTCGCGGGGCTAGTTTGACGCTACTCCCAATGAACCAAGCCAGCAGACAAGACTGTGAGGCTATAATCGGACAAATATACGGCGCAGAAGCATCTGCTGGTAATGACGTGGATTGCATCATTCCGTTTGCCGCTATTCCACAAACCGGTGAGCCCGACACTCTAGGCAGCCGTCAGGAACTTGCCCTCCGAGGGATGCTTGTGAACCTCCTGCGGCTGGTGGGTCTCGTTTGTTGCGAAAAGGAAAAGCGACGCATAAACACCAGACCGACGATGGTAATTCTACCCTTGTCATGCAATGAAGGAACATTCGGTGGAGACGGCCTTTATGCGGAGGCCAAAATTGGACTCAAGTCCTTATTCAATCGATTCCACTCCGAAAGCTGGTCGACGTATGCCACTATCTGTGGAGCCGTCATGGGGTGGACTCGAGGAACTGGATTGATGCACTCATCGGATATGATAGCAGCAGAGACGGAAAAGCTCGGTGTCATCACCTTTAGCAGGGCCGAGATGGCCTTCAATATCCTGGCGCTGCTATCACCGGCCATCACCGCTCTTGCCGAAGAGACGCCTGTGTATGCAGATCTAACTGGCGGATTTGGGTCTATGTGGAATTTAAAGGAACATATCGCAGCGAGTCGTAAGGCGGTGGCCGAAAATCTTCGTTTGAGTATTGTTCTCGCGGAAGAGGAGACACATCACGAAGCAGCCCTCCACGGACAGCGGGCAAACTCTCATGCACACGATCCAGAAGTAAGGAATAAGCGAGCCAACCTCAATATTGGGTACCCTTCAATAGCGAGGCAGGAGGATATGACGGCGAGGCTTCCTGATCTCCGAGGAATGATAGACCTTTCGCAAACGGTCGTCATCGTAGGATTCTCAGAGCTTGGGCCATGGGGAAGCTCACGCACACGATGGGAAATGGAAAGCCAGGGTCAATTCTCGTTAGAGGGTTACGTTGAGATGGCGTGGATGATGGGTCTGATCAGACACATTACAGGCGATCTCAAGGGCCAGCCATACGTTGGATGGATCGATGTCATGACAAGCGAGCCGATCTCGGATGACGAGATTCCTAAAAGGTACCACCAACAGATTATAGAGAACTCCGGCCTTCGTTTTATTGAACCCGATGCACTCAACACCTACGATCCATCACGAATAGAGTTCATGCATGAAGTTGCGATCGAAGATGATCTGCCGCCGTTCGAGAGCTCGAAGTCAGCGGCCGAAGCACTCAAGTTGCGCCATGGGGACCATGTCTTTGTCCAACCAATATCAGATTCGGACAATTATCGTGTCTTCATGAAGAAGGGTGCTGTGGTAATGGTGCCCAAGGCAATTCCTTTCCACCCTTTAGTGGGCGGAAGGGTCCCCAAGGGATGGGACCCTTTGCGATACGGCATTCCCGGGGATATTGTTCAGGAGGCCGATCCCACTACTTTGTATGCTCTTTGCTGCGTCTCGGAGGCATTCTTGTCCGCTGGCATCAAAGATCCGTATCAGACGTATCAGTATATTCAGGTCTCTGAGGTAGCCAACTGCTTAGGTACTGGGGGCGGTCCTATGAAGACAATCCAGAGCATGTACCGCGACCGGTATCTCGATCGGCCAGTCCAAGGAGATATTATACTTGATCACTTTGCTAACACCATGGGCGCATGGGTGAACATGCTCCTTCTTTCTTCCTCGGGTCCACTCAGGACGCATGTCAGGGCATGTGCCACAGCCATAGAATCATTAGACAGCGGATGCGAAGCTATTAAGAGTGGGAAGTGCAAAGTTGCTATTGTTGGCGGTTGTGATGATTTTGGAGAAGAAGTCGCTTACGAATTCGCCGGCATCAAGGCTACTGCAAATACGAAAGAGGAGTTGGCTAAAGGTCGTCTTCCGGGAGAGTTCTCTCGCCCTACCACAAGTTCCCGTAGCGGGTTTGCAGAGTCTGCTGGCTGTGGAGTACAAATAGTGATGGCTGCTGATCTTGCCCTCGAGATGGGACTGCCAATCTATGGCATTGTTGCTTACACCCAAATGGCGAGTGATCAAACCGGCCGATCGATCCCGGCCCCGGGCAAGGGAATCCTGACGGCTGCACGAGAATCAGCAGACGCCCGGCACTCGCCGTTACTGGATCTTGAGTTTCGACGTGCGGAATTCGAGAAAGAGGTAGCTGAAATTCGTCAGCAAGCATGGGATGGGCAAGTGAGCAGCACGTGCCAAACTGAGAATGCCGCCTATACAATCGAAGAAAGCATGAAATCCAGGCTACGAGATGCCCAGCACCGGTGGGCTAACAGTATCCGCTTGCAAGATGCCAGAATCTCCCCCCTAAGAGCCGCACTAGCAACATGGACCCTATCGATCGATGACATAAGTGTTGTTTCGAGCCATGGGACTTCAACCCGAGCTAATGAGCTTAACGAAGGGGAGGTTATCAATACTCAGATGAATCACCTGGGTCGACGGAGAGGTAATCCACTACTCTGCGTGTGTCAGAAATCCGTGACAGGGCATCCCAAGGCAGCTGCAGGCGCCTGGCAACTTAACGGCTGCATACAAATGTTCCGCGACAGCATAGTCCCAGGGAACCGCAACGCAGACAATATAGATGAGGAGCTCCGACAGTTTAAGCATCTGGTCTATCCCATGGATTCGATGAAGGTGCCTGACATGAAGGCGATCATGCTCACCTCCTTCGGATTTGGTCAAAAGGGTGCGTTGGCCGTGGTAGTAACACCCAGGTATGTCTTCGCGGCGGTTCCGACTGCAACATTTGAAGACTACCGAACTCGAGTGTTACAGAGGCAGCGAACAGCCAACGTGGAATTCGTCACGCGGCTGTTGAAGAACTCGCTGGTCCAAGTCAAATGTGATCCACCGTGGAAAAGCGCTGGGACTATGCAAAGTGTCTTCCTTAACCCGGACAGTCGCTTAGCTGCTGACTCCTTCGGGGCGGAGACTCCGGTCAAAGCTCCTAGTCCGGATAGTGTAAGCGAGAGATCAGATGTCACCGCTGCGCTTGTTCAGTCTCTGCTCGAGCGTGTTACTCAGCGCTCTGATGCAACGACATCAACCAGCGTTGGAGTCGACGTGGAGGAGATCATGAGCCTCCACATTGAGAACCTCAATTTTCTGCAGCGCAACTTCACACCTGCAGAACGGGACTACTGTTCTAAGGCAGCGAACCCACGCTCCGCATTTGCGGGTCGGTGGAGTGCCAAAGAGGCCGTTTTCAAAAGCTTCCGGGTGCTTTCTATGGGTGCAGGGGCTGCAATGCAAAATATCGAGATCCTGGAAGAAAGCGGGAATCCTTATGTCAAGGTATGTTTGGCAATTACACAGCATTGATTGCCTGTATCAATTAACATGGCTCAGCTTCACGGACACGCTCACGCTGTGGCGGTGTCCAAGGGTATCAGCAAGATTGAACTGGCTATCGGCCATTCTGGGGAAGTGGCTGCTGCCGTAGCGCTAGCCAGGTGGACCTAAGTGATTGTATCGGTCCCAGGACAATCGGGGAAGATAACACAGACAGACTCAGTGGCAATCTCTAAGGTTGTTAAATCTAACTGTTTCAGAAGCAGTTTAGTAGGTTCAGTGCCTTGTAAAGTGTGTCAACGATACCATAGACTTCATGGTATCTATGAAGTTTGTGTGGGCTGGGCCAGTGGGGGAAGTAGGAAGAAGGAAAGTGAAGCCGGACTTGTCCCACAACGGATAAGGGATCGCCCGGTTGCCGATCACGTGCCATGAGCGCTTTCCTATTGCATCGCGATGTTAGTCGACACATCAGCTGCTAGGACCAGATCACCTCTCCGGGCACCTTGTAGCAACAGCATTGCTTGGATCGATCTATCAGTACGATGATAGTTAATAACATTTCCCGGATGGATTCGACTTTTTGCTATACGTTTTGAGTTAATCTCGAGACTATACTATAACTTTAATGAGGCTCATGCAGAGCCAAAAATATATAATGCCATCAATATGCAATAGGGTGAACATTGATTGTGAACAACCAGAATATAGGGAACCTTCACCGCAGTACTATTCACATCGAAAGCAAAACCCTGATGACTGAAAGTTCTTGTCAAATGCACTACCGAAGCACAGATTCATATCACACCCTTCCCCGCTTGTATACTAAGAACGCGGCCTTCTCGCATAAACAGTCAACTCTCCCAAATAATCAGCCTGATCGTCCAGTTGCGCACCGTCATAGTTGCGCAGCATACTACCGACCCTCTCTGAATCAGGATCAGCCTCCATCGGACTACTACACATAACTCACATATTAGCAAGAACAAAAAGTATGGACGCAAGAGAAGAATAACTCACCGCGCCCAATACATCCCCCCATTTATCTGTACCTCTGAAAGCGGACTATTCCAAACCATAGCAGCCGGCCATTGCACATCTGCCACGATCTGCCTAACGGGAACATCGGGACCGACAGAGAATACCAGTGTCTGCTCATCGATCTCCAAAAATCCCTCAGGGTCTTTTAGCACCGTGATACCAAGACCTCCCAGAAACTCAATATCTGTCTCATTGTACCACGGATCCTGGGAAAAGCACTGCACATCCACACCTCGACTTATATTCCGTTCCTTCAAAACAGCGGCAATAGTCAACGTAGCAGCATGTTGGGCATAAGAGCGGACCGGAAGTTTCCCGAGGTTGTTTTTGCCGAGGGTTCCCAGTCCAAAGGCAACAATTTTGGTGATTGTGATTGCCTCCGGATCAAACCTCGGTTTCACGAAAGAGCCCTCTAGATTAGAGCATGTCTCGCTTTCCTGCCATTCCCGGCGGACCAGCTTGAATGTATCGTCGATTACTTTGAGGGTGACGCCAGGAGGGCTTGGGTCGCGCACGTACACAATGGAGACGGGGGTCGGGGGATCCAAGAGCAGATCGAGAAGGTGTGTGTGGAGCATTGTTAGGCGCTGGATGCTGCTATAGTCGATGTTATATCTGCTACTGTTTCCTCTGTTAGAGGGACAGACTGTGTCTGATTGGAGCAGATTGGACTTGCCATCTTTCGGCGAGGTCTTTAGGAACTTTGAGGCTATATGTTTTTGCCTCATCATTCCAAGTTGGGATCTTAACTTTGTCTTTTCCCTGAACGATCTGCTCGTGAAGGTCCTTCAAGAGTGTTCGTGTAAATAGTGGCTTTCCAGAGTTGTAAAGTTGGATAATACGTTGGACATTAGCTTTGGCTTTGGCCAGGTTTTCTTCCTTCCGTCGTCTCTCGCCATCGGAAGATCGAGATGCTTCCATGGTTGCTTGGTGATGGTGGAGGGGGATAGAGGCCGGGGTAGATGGATATTCGATGGCTGCCATTGCGAAGAGTTGGTTTCTGGATGATGCTTTGATTGATAAGTGCTTGTCGATGAATACCATCTCTACGGGAACTTCCACAATACTTAAATATTGAAGCTATGACTACATCACTGAGAACATGCAGCAGCTGAATATAGATGTTTGCCAACCCCAGAAATAGATGGGTATAGCTGCAGCGGCAGCAACCGCTGTCAATCCCAGCCCAGCATGTTCCCGGACGATCCATTCCAACCTGTTGGAAACTTCCCGGGGGGGGTGATTGGTCATGTGTAGTTAACTAAAGTGGTTGGACCCTATTAATATCACCCGAATAGTGCGGTTTTCCAGAGATAGAACGTGTTGGATTACTATACTAAGTAATATTAGGGGGATATATTTATAACTAGATGCAGAGCAGCAGCGCTAAGGTGGGTTGCAGGTCAGGTTTGCAGCAGCAGGGATATTAATTAATGTAGATTATTTTATAAATATAATCTCACGTGCATAAGCCGTTTCATGATGGAGAGGGCGTGTTATTGGTTTCTAGGTTAATTTGGGATCATTTTCATATGTTTGGGGGTTCATCCAACAGTTGAGTGGTAGCTGATTGGAGTTGTAGTCGCTCTTCATGCGCCGGGATGCGGCCAACAGCGCCGGCCTTCCGTCGGGTCGAGCACTGCTCGAAGACGCGATGAAAGATTGATTGGTTGTGGTAGTTCAGCCGTAGTAGGCGTTGCCAAGCTTCGTCGTTTCTAGTTCATCTTCGAGTTATAGAATGTTACATCCACAGCCACAGTGACTACTTGTTGTTTCTTAAGTCTCTCTTTTCAAACAGCATATCATGAACAATCCTATTCACTGTTCCTACTCTACCTACCGACATTCGGTAATATCTGCCTTATAATGATCAGTGGGCAAAAGACCGTCTATTATGGTTTTCTTACCACTTACCAAGGCAACCCATACTACAAGCTTAACACCCATCAAGTGCCTATACAAAGACCAGTGCAAGCTGCAATCAACACATCCATCATCGCCTTTATACCCATAACCAAAAGTGAAAACTGTACAGACACATACTCAGCTACTCATCGGCTCTACTTCTGATGCCGATCGCGCACCCCGCATTTCATCTTATCACTTGGTCTTATCTCGGACACCCTCCGAGATAGCCTATAATCACCTAGATTGTCGTGTATCTTGCTGTATACGGCAATATAACCCAGACGCATTGATCTTATCACTCAGGCCAAGAGCCATGCTATTGACACACGTCTCGCGGCTTGCCATCGGTGGCTGTTGCAGCTTATCAGGGCGACGCAATGCTACCGGCCATGAATACACCTTATATCTCTCCAATCCCCATTTTCTACTTTACCTCCAGTTAGACAACAGTAACCCTCACAATGACAGACTCAGCATCAGATGCCAAACTCCAAGACCCAGAAAAGTCCATCCCAGTCACAACGAAAGTAGACGACATCGACATCGGCCAAACCACCCACCTAGACGAAGCCGAGATCTTTCTCCACGAACATGGCATATCCCACGACCAGATGCAAGAGATGCTCGACGATCCAGTCCGGACGAAGAAATTACGGAGACGCATTGACATGATTCTTCTGCCGTTGATGTGCGGGACATACTGTCTACAATACATTGATAAACAGGCCCTTTCGTACAGCGCCGTCTTCGACCTCTTCACCAATGCCCATATCAACAGTAACGATTATAGCTGGCTAGCGAGTATATTCTACTTCGGTAACCCCACATAGTATACTTCCTCCATGTCCGTAACACAGAGCAGCTGACCTACTGATAACAGGCTACCTCTTCTGGGAATATCCCGCCAGCTACATCGCGCAACGCCTACCCATCGGGACAGTCGTTTCGTCATTCGTGTGAGTCTCATACCGAACCCCCAATACAACCCACTAACACAACCACCAGCATCGCCTGGGGCTCCATCCTCATGATAACAGCTGCCTGCAACAACTTCACCGGCCTAGCCATCTGTCGATTCCTCCTAGGATGCTTCGAATGTACCCACCCCACCCCCACTCCATACCTATTTACTAACAAGTACAGCCCCCATAACACCCTGCTTCATGATGATCGTCGGAATGTGGTACCTCCGACAAGAGCAGCCTTTCCGCGCGGGTATCTTCTACTGCTGCAATGGCGTTGGATCGATGGTGAGATACCACTAAATCCATCCCAACTTCAAAAACGATCTAATAGATAAAATCAGGTCGGCGGTCTCCTCACCTACGCCATCGGTCAACTCAACACCTTCCCCGTATGGCGCGCGGTATTCCTCATCTGCGGCGGCGCCACAATCACCTGGGGCGTGGTGATGATGATATTCCTCCCGAACAGCATTCTCTCAAGCAAGAGATTTACTGTGGAGGAGAAGGTGTTGCTCATCGGCAGGGGGAGGAAGAATCAAACTGTAGCCCTATCCCCTTACCCTTCTTCCTCACAACCCAACCCACACTACCAATAAACACATACTAACCAAAAACCATAGGGAATACTCAATAGATGGATAAAATGGTACCAAATCCGCGAAGCCTTCATCGACCCCCAAGTCTGGCTATTATTCCTCTTCACATTACTAAACGAGACGATCAACGGGGGCGTCGCCAACGTAAATCCCCATCCCCATTCCCATCCCCTATCTCCCCCACCATAACCCCAACACTAACGATGATAATAATATGGAAAAAATATAGTTCGGCAAACTCATAATCAAAGGCCTCGTAACCAGCCCCCTCCTCACCACCGTCCTAGGCATCCCGCAGGGGGCATTCCAAGTCCTCTTCATCCTAACCGGAACCTACCTTTCAACCCGCATCCCCAACATCCGCACCCTAATCATGATCGCATATCTAATCCCCACCGTCATCGGCGTATGTCTCTTATGGAAGTTACCCCGGGAGAGGGAGTATGGCGTGTTATTTGGGTATTATATCGTGAGCCAATCCTCCCCTCTCCAAACACCCCCCCCCCCTGTCAGATAAAACAACACTTATGCTAACACAATGGGATACTGCCTATGGGTATGGAATAGATCGGCTCCTTCGTAACCTCCCTCGTCCTCGCCCTCCAACTTCCCTCCAGCAACATGGGCGGATACACGAAGCGCGTGACCGCCACGGCATTCGTGTTCCTGGCCTACTGTATTGGGAATATTATCGGGCCGCATGCGTTTCTGGCGAGTGAGGCGCCGGTGTATCAGACGGGGTGTAAGTTGATTCTTGCTTGTGCGGTGTGTCAGATTGTTTGTGCGGGGGGGATTAGGGTTTTGTTGGTGAGGAGGAATAAAGAGAGGGATTTGAGTAGTACTAGTAGTACTGTTGGTGGGGATGGGGATGGGGATGGGGTTATGGAGGATTTGACGGATTTTGAGGTATGTTTTCTATTTTCTTTCTTTCAGCCGTGTGTGATTTGTGAGGCTGACGGTGGGGTAGAATCCGAGGTTTAGGTATGTTTATTAATCGGTTGGCTGTGAGTATGGATGGGTGTGTGGGTATGAGTTGGGCATGGTGTGGTTGTATATGTATGGGTGTATCTCCTAGATGTTGTCTAATGCATCTGCCAGCTTCTTGTTCTACACTGGTTTTAAGTAATACTATATTAGCTCTTATGCTAGTTCCCGATTGCCCCCTTGCAGTCAAAGTCAACTACTCCTCCACTATGCACTTATGTGATGAGTTTCACGCAATCATCATAAAATATACTGCATTAATGGTAAAGACTAGGTATCATAAATGGGCTACATTCAAGACTTTTGCTGCTGCTATCCCGCCCATAAACTACAATCAAATCAATAGAAGCAGCGCTATGGCTTGGACACATCGGCAATGACTTTGTATGTCGATGCATGGATACTTAATGGTCGAGTGCGCGGGTACACCGCCCCTACGATCTGCCGGTTGTGTCCATACTGGGGATAGATGCCGTCGGAAAGCTCTGCATAGTGCGCCTGGGGACGGGCTTCATGCAAGGTCTCGAGAATTCTCTCATTCCACAAACCGGTGCACTCGTTATCGGACAGCTGGAAGTAGGGGTTCAGTGGCGGACAAGCTGAATCCAGGTCGATGAAGCGGATGCGCATGTACGTCAAGGCAGTGTGCAGCTGCAGGCTGTGCACGGCGCCGAGGACGAGTTTCTCAAAAGAGCGAATGAAATTCAGATTGGTGATGCCGGAAAAGTCGTCTAGAAATCCAAGCCCCGGGTTTGCCCGCTTTTCGCGACAGCAGGTCTTGACCACCAAATCTAACGACTTGAGCTTGGACTTGGCCGGCCAGGTGGACATGAAGCTGCGGGTTGCATTGAAGAGACAGGCGCAAACCTTCCCCGTAAATGCAAGAGACTCCAACCGCGGGGCGGCCTCGCCAAGCAGGCGGCAGAGATGTGGTGGGCTGATTCCATCGTGCATCCAGCCGGATTGTGTATTGTCCTTGTTGTAGAAGCCTTCCAGGCTGATGTTGACATGGACAAGTGATGGGGATATGCGAGAGAGAATCTCCGCGACCGTCTCGTAGGCCTCGAATTTGGGCTTGGCATAGGCGCAGTGCCACTCGCGCACTCCGGGTAAGGCTTGTGACATGTTCAACCAATGTTGATAGTCACGCATGATATTCCACGCTCCACGCATGACAAACGTCTGGACCACTGGCAGCGTAGGCAAACGCCGCCGTCCGGAGTGGCCGCATGGATCATCGCGAAATTGGCGGACCATTGGCGGTCGCTTACAGTGACCTCCCTCCAGGGTCAGTATGCGTGCTTCGGGAAATTCGGATTTTACGTGGGAGAACATCTCCTCCAGGGTCGCATTGTGACTGGCATAGTGGTATCGATAGTCGGTGCTATGATTGGTATCGGAGTCGTCCCACGCGATGGCTTGAGGCACTCCCGGCTCGACCAGGCCGGCATCCTCGTCATGCAACCGCCGGGCCGGAAAATGATGCGATGTATTCTTGACGGCGCGTTTTCCCCATACCGGGATCCAGATCTCGACATGGCGGACGTACGGGGCCAGATGGGGATGCGCACGGAACCAGCGGGCACTTTCGGCCAATTCGTCTGTGGTACCCTTGATTTTGACTAGGCAGTGAATTAGACAGATGCAACAAAATGTTGGCGTTGAGGAAGACCAAAAATAACAAGTGGGGACTCACTGTGCCTGTAAATTCGGTCCTGCACCAGTGCTCGCCAGACAGGGGTGATCAATGCCAAATTGGACAGCGCTTTTCGACGGGGATGACGCAACGACTTATTCCAACTGCGCGCGGACTTACCGGGCGCGCACGACGTGAACGCCGATGCCCGCTCGCCAAACAGATGATCTAGAATAGCCTCGTGGATCTCGATGGGAAGGTCTTCAAAGCGCACTTGGGATCGGCAGGCCTGAGGTGTCTCCACGCTTATCCGTGCATCCTCTATTTCGGTATCCACCGGGGACTGGCAGACCAGCTGACCAGGCCCCACCGCCGGGGGATTAATGGGACCATCGAGAATTTGAATTTCGGCACTGGTGCAGCGACTCGCTTTGGCGTAGGGGATGGTCGTCGAGGCCGACGCTCTGGCCAGTGAATTGACCGAGACGGGACGGGGAGGGGGGATGGTGGAAATCATGGGGGACGATGAGGGGGAGAATAACAATGCAGACGGCATTCAAATCGAGGTCGCCAGCACCAAACCGGGAAGCGCCAAACAGAGGAAGAGAGTCGGAAGTCGTAAATCGTTAGTTAAAGCAGGGCGCTGCGGGTGGGTCGGAAGTTAGTATTTCAATTACCTGTGACCAAGGCGAGAAAAAGCAAAGCAAAGTCTAAAAACGAGGCACTGGATCGAATTTTGGGGGGAAATGCGCGCTGCGAGACATACTATTGACGGGAGGCTAAGAGCAGCGGGCGACGGGGGGGAATCGTTGTGAGCGTTCTGTGGTCCGTGATAAGGAGAAATTAAAATAGGCAGGACGCTGGATGGAAGAGGTAACGAGCGATAATATGAAATGCAGCCAGGGCTAGCCAACGTGGTCCATGGCGGTGCCAGTGCTGATGCGTTGGAGGCAGATAGTCGCCAGTCGAACGAGTGGGCGAGATGCTAATCGGCGGTTAGGCAGTCAGGCAGCTGGGGTGGGTGGGATTGTAGCGATGAGGAGATGAGGGTTGTATGGAGTATGTAGATCAGAATACAGTGATGGAGAGAACGAAAGCAATCGCAGCCAGGCGGGATGGGAAATGATGGGGAGGAAGTAGAATAGTGGGAAAGCGAAAGAATAGGAAGAGGATGGATGGACGGATGGATGGATGAGAAGGGAAGAGACGAAACGAGATGGATGGAATGACGAGGATGACGGAGAGACTTTTTGAGGGGGAGAGAAAGAGAGAGAGAAACAGAAACAGAGAGAGGGAATCTTCCAGGCTCTCCTCAGGCACACATTCACCATGACCGGCAAGTCATTCTTACGGCAAGACGGGAAAAGCCAAAACACAGCCTTGTTCGGGTTCCCCCCAAACCAGGTTTACAGGTTAGTAGTAGTATTTTGCTGGTCACGCTCTCCTCCGCTGGACTCATCACACCACCTGAATGCTACTTACAGCAGGAAGTATCCACCCCTTTTCCCTCGACTGCTAGCATACTGTTACTTGATCATGTGCATATTCTACTTCGTAGTTAGCTGGTTTATTTCCAGACCGCCATCTCACCTGTAGACCCAAGATAATTGACAATCGACTACTATCTATCAAGCAAGATACATATATAGTGTATCGTTTCACATAAATCAGTGTTTGGTTCCCGTGGGCCCTTTGAAACACATCTCAAACGGGGTCAGCCCAGCGGGTCGGCTCCATTCCCAGGCCACTTTGGATGAGCCATGGCACAGACCACATGGGAGTGTCCACTCTACTTCCTCTCGTGATGTAATATTTTAGTTACAGATACTGTTACACTTCAAATTCGATACCTATTATTCATTAAAGTTGATCATATCATACAAATTGGTTCGACAAGTTGGTTCGCATCATGCACGGCTGACCGCATATCATCCACCACAACACTTCACGGTAATGCGCCTATGAGGTGGTCCGCTTAATGCCCAACAGCGTCATAAGGACGGTGTTTGTCTACCCAGCATATCCACTTTCCTGAATACTTGGCTCCCCCGCATGTGGTTCTCCACACTATGGCAACATGGCAACACATCCATCTCATTCACTTCAATTCCCTGCCATGCGATGGTGGGCCAATCTTCATTCAACTACATTCAATATCCCATTCCCACGCACAAAAGCTGAGAACGAACGGGTCATGCTTGAAGGTATCTATCTAACTACATTCTGAGCATCAATCATCGCCTGCGACGGAATCGGAACCGAAGCCCATCATCGCTATCCGAATCTTGCTCTTCTCGCATCCGTTTTTGCACCCGGGGTTGACTTCGGGTCTCCCTGGGCGCTGGTGTCTCCGACTCGACCCGGGCCGAGGACTGTGAGCGGGATGCCGCTGCGTCCTGGCTGACAGCCCGTTCGGCCGGACTCTCTACTGGACTCTGCTCCGTGCGATTACTAACCCAGTAGTGGTCCCCAATCCCAAAGTCTTTTCGCGTCACTTCCTCTAGTGGCACTATCACCGTCTGGATGCGGTAGCGAGGCTGCCCGGGTTCGCCCTTGCGGCGGAACTTCTTGAAGTTCTTGCGTCCATTCCACCGATCGTCCCACCGTCGGTCTCCTTCGCTCACGTGTCTCGGCTTCACTTCCATCTCCTCTACGATTGCAAGTCCCTTGAGCTTCTCCACATTGACATCCTCAAGAGGCCCTTGCAGCGACGCTTCTTCCGCCTGACGCTGGCGCTGCGCATCTTCGGCCTCCCGGTGCTGTCGCGCGGCCTCCAGTACGTCCAGTTTCTGGCGTTTCACCCGCGGCATGGCCTCGTCTTTCGTCTCAGAACTGGGCTCTTCTTTGGTCCTCGCCGTCGTCTGAGCGCGTCGACGTTTCATCGCCTGGGCACCCGGCAGTAGGCTTGACACCATGTCTTCTTCTCCTTCTTCCTCCTCGTGGAGGCTGCTTTGCGGTTGCGATTGTTGTGCCGGCGATGGCTCGATTTCCATCAAAGGCGGCGAATCATCAACGCTCTCCGGAGCATGAGCGGGGATAGAGTTGATATCGAAGCCATCATCGAATGTTTTCATCTTACTGACAAATCCTCGAACTCGTGGCTTCCTCTTCGTTGACAGCTGGCTTTCCGCCGGGGGCTGTGAGTCTTGAACTTCTTGAACATCAGGGGTAGCAGCTGGTGGAGTGGGTTCTGCATCCATGTCCTGGGCCTCGGGAAGAGAACGGCACAGGCCAGAAGCGTCATTTCCCAGAATAGCGTCCAGGAACTCGCTCTGTTGAATAACGCGCTGGTCGGTCGACAAAGCAACCTCATTACCCAGCTCGGCCCACCAGTTCTCATGGCGTCCAGTCGCAACGTATCGAACAAGAACCACTCCGCCAGGGCCATCCCGTTGGCTCCCGAAACCCTTGTCGCCAGCCGCATTTCTCATATATTGCACGATCTCTGCTGCCGTGGTGACCCCTTCTTCCACTTGGTAAAGCAATGCCTTCCCGTGACCATTCGTAATAACATCCTGCAAGTTTCCAAACTGCGCAGGGTCCATGAACACAAATGTGTAGTCATCGAAAATATTTATTCTATCGGGTCTCGGAGAAAATGCTTCCTTTGGTCTCTGTACGGTTTCCTTGCCAGGCGGTGGAAGATGTGCCATTGCATCCGGCCATGCAGTGTCGAAATCGGCCTCCAACGGGGACAACGACTCGAGGTTCTCTAGGTCGCTCGGGGTAGCCGCATAAACCAAGGCGTCGATATAGGAGTCCTGCACGATGTACTTTCCATTCACCAATGCTTGCAGACCTTTGGCAGTATTCCGTTTCTTTTGGACGACGTGTGTAGTGTGGTCGACAACGTACGGAACAATCGTTTTAATATCCAAATCCTCAACACGAGAGCGCACTTGTGCCAGGGGATCTTTCGCTTTGAGTTCTTTCGAGGAAAAGGAGAAGGTAAGGACGACTGGCTGCCACTTGATCCTAATAACCACCACGGTTAGTCCCTGCCGATATTGGTCCTTGCCATGGTAATTACCGCAGCGCATGTTCGTATCTCCCCAACTTAATTTCATGCTCCTCACCAGTCAGGTCTTTACTTTCATCCTTCACCGTATTACCATCCACTTTGGTGCCATATTTCGAGCCCAAGTCGCGCACGGCAATTTTCGATCTGGTGTAGATATGCGACTGAACAGTTAGCGGGGAAAGCAGAGGGATTCGATCATCGTACTCCATCGCCTGGTTTGACAGGTGAAACTTCGATCATCATATGCTTTCGGGAGATGGACTTGTTATCAATAGCATGTCGGACTGCATGCGACCAAAGTTAGTATAGCGGAGTTTGGTCATGGTCTCAGCACCTTACCTCCATCTTGCTTGATCCGACCGAAGAGATACTTCTTCCCCGGTCGCAGCCACACGCGCTTGCCTTTGACAATCAGCCAAACCCATCAAGCAGTGAGTGAAGATATTACCACCCAGAAAGTCACCCTCCGAATCTAGAATCCACATGGAAGCGGTTGTGTGCCTGGCAGCGAGATGCAGCTGCTCGGATGAGTTGACATCAGCCAGCACGTGAAACACGGCCCGTCACGCGTGTTCACGTGATCAGGCGTCGCAATAGCTGCCTGCTTGGGTAATCTTATGTCCATCATCCTCGCTTCCATCATCAGAGATGGAGCCTTCGGGCGAGGAGCCAAATGATGATGCAAAGGCGTCCAACAGTGTGGAGTCTGCTGAAAGCTATGACACCTTGAAATATCAACTCTTAGGACCGTCTTTGACCAAAGCGGGCCAGGATGCCGTGGACCAGCGAAAGGTGAGTATGCCACTACGGTCTAGGAGTATAGCTAAGATTAGCAGGTATCGGAAATCATTTATAATGCCTCCAAAGGCTCCAAGTTTTTCAATCATGAGCAAAATCGGGACAAGGTCTTGACGGTCAAGATTGAACGCATTCTCAAAGAGAAAGCCCGTCTCGAGAAACTAGATCTGTCGGCGGATCTACGACGCGCTGACCAGCTTCTTGCGGAGCTAGAACTGACGCGAGACCTGTCGCAGCATGTTGTCCACGTTGACTGTGATGCTTTCTTTGCTGCAGTGGAAGAACTCGACCGTCCGGAACTGAAGACTGTCCCTATGGCAGTCGGCAAGGGAGTGCTGACGACCTGCAACTATGAGGCACGAAAGTTCGGCTGCCGGAGTGGCATGGCATCGTTCGTCGCAAAAAAGCTATGTCCTCAGTTGATCTGCCTGCCTCAGAACTACGAGAAGTATACGGAAAAGGCAAAGGAGATTCGCGCCATATTCGCACAATATGATCCCACGTTCGAAAGCGCTAGTATCGACGAGGCGTATCTCAATCTGACTGCGTATTGTACAGAAAACGAGCTTGACCCCGAGGAGGCGGTCCAGCGCATGCGCGCCGAGGTTCTGGAGAAGACCAAGATCTCAGTCTCTGCCGGCATTGCGGCAAATGCAAAAATAGCGAAGATTGCATCCAACAAGAATAAGCCGAACGGTCAATTCCGCGTTCCTAATGAAAGGGGAGCGATCATGAGGTTCATGGAGGGGCTGCCGGTCCGCAAGGTGAATGGCGTCGGCCGTGTCTTCGAACGTGAGCTTGATGCGATCGGCATTAAAACGTGCGGCGACATTTATCCGCAGCGTGCCATATTGACTAAACTTTTTGGAGAAAAGGCATTCCATTTCTTGATGCAGTGCTATCTCGGCTTGGGTAGAACAAAGATTCAGCCGGTGGAGAACTACGAGCGCAAGAGCGTGGGAACGGAGAGGACGTTCCATGAGATCGGAAATAAAGAGGAGTTCAGAGCGAAGTTGTGGTCGATAGCAGAGGAGCTTGAAAAAGATCTGGCACGGACCGAGTTCAAGGGTCGTACATTGGTTCTCAAGGTCAAGCTCGCCACCTTTGAGGTTCTATCACGACAATGCCAGCCTCCACGGGCGGTGTCGACTGCCAAGGACTTGTACGCGTTTTCTCTTCCGATGCTGGAGAAACTTGAGAAAGAGATGCCTGATCTGAAGATGCGACTGCTTGGCCTTCGCTGCACCAATCTGGTGAGCACGAAGAAGGTCGGAATAGAGCTCTTCGGCTTCACTTCGCGGCCAAAGCCCGCTTCGGAGATGGCCGACCCTCCGGTCGAACAGGAGATCGAAACAGAGGAGGCATTTGAGAAAGCTGCACGGGAGGAACTACAGGAGGAGCTCGATGATCTGGAGAAGCTGAGCCAGGAGGTATCTGAATCTACAGAAAGGCAGGATGAAGCGGCTGCATCACCGTCGCAGCCAGCATATTGGGATTGTCCGATCTGTTCCCGACCTCAGGTGGCGGAGGATCGTGCATTTAATGACCATGTGGACTACTGCCTATCAAGACAGACGATTAAGGAGGCTGTTCAGGGGGCTTCAGATGCTGTTCCGGCTGAGGCTCCAGCTGCATCGAAGACACGGAAGCGGAGGACAACGGAATCGCCCGATCCGCGACAGAAACGATTGTTCTTTTCGTGATGACTTTGTATAGTCGCACCATATTACTTCAGCAGATTGGGCTTCTTCCCGCCCAGCCAACCTAGGAGTGGACAGTAGTCTACCCCAGCAGGAGGTTTAACCGCATGGCAGTCGCGCTGCACGCACGTCCCGCACTATTGCCGGCCACGGTGGCATTGCATCTGACACCGACATGGCAGGCACCTTAGTCTCGGGCAGAAAAGATCGATCAGATTGAAACTGTGACCATGAGGAATGCAATCATCCATTGCAAAAGGTCGCTCCTGGCGATTACCCGTTTGCGACCTTCATCGGATATTATCAGTCCACAGTACGTGATATAGATCAGAGATAGCCCAGTTTGCACCGCCTGAGTATAATAAGAAACTATAAGGGCTGTACTATGACAAACTTGTATATAGGAGAAAGATAGAACTTGTAATCACTAAATGATAGATCAACGGTCGGGTACCTGGCCTTGACGATGAGATATTAATGCCATGAATATCGCAGTAAGGCCGTATTGCATGCATGAAGGGGTTGGTTGGCCATACTGCATTGATTGATTGTTGGCTGGCATCCAGCTCGACGGTACTATTAATAGGTTAATTAAGGGTTAGTTAAGTCCTGACGGAAGTATCTACATTAAACGAGGACCCATCCACGGTACTCCTGAGGATGCTATACTTAGCTACTCTACAAATAATACTACAAAAGGGATAATAGTACACTGACGACATCTTAGCTAGTCGAATAGTACTATTAACGAGGTATCCCTCGTCAAACTTCAACCCAGATAGATCAGTAAATACCAACCCGCATGATCCCCCCGATAAACTTCACCACATATCACAAACCCGCATTGACAACCAGGAAGGAATGTGGAGTCTAGCCCCCCTCCCCTCCCTCCTTCTCTCCTGCTTGCTTCTCTTCTTCAAAGATCAACGTGGCAGACGGCCCCTTGCATTGCCCCGAATAGTTCAGTAGTTTGTCACGCATCACGTGTCGGCAGTAGGTTCGGGTTCGCCATGGAGACGTACAGTAATGTTTTTGATCGACGAGATCTGAACTGATAAGGGACTGCAGGGAATCAATCAATTAATCAATCCATCCATCAATCACATCTGTCAGATGATCAGATTAGAAAAATATACTCCGGGTTCCGTGGATTATAGTAGAGTACTAGTAGTCGTGTACAGAGTATCTAGTGTCAAGTAGGGTAGGGAGTGATGGGGTGATCGGCGTGATGGTTGTCCGGTTACTACTCCGGAGAGAGCCGCAGCTCCGACTTCACCCATGGTCAGCCCATGTGAAGGGTGACTGCGATCAGTAAGGGTGGTGCAGTTGAAATTATATATGCTACTATTTTTGACTATTTTGAAGATATGAATAGTTTCAAGTGGTGATAGATTTACAAGCCAGCAATATATTTATAAAATGTATAGACAGAGAGAGAAGAGAATAAATTCGGGATAAGAAACACACCTTGATTAAGGGATCTGAATTGCGGTGAAAGGGGGAGTCACCAGAGACTAGCCGGATTGGGGTGGGGGAGGGATGTTTTGCACCCAAAACAATATTAATTAATTATTATCCTTCTTTCTTCTCCGGTGTTTGTTGTGTTGAACAACAAATTCAACGCACTACATCGTCATCCCACACTCCCTCCCCATCTTCTTCTTTTTCCCTCCTCCTCCTCCTCCTCCTCCTTCCCTCTCATCACCTGGACGGTCCAACAAGAACCCGCTGTCGACTGGCTGGTGCCATCATCATGCTTGCAGATTCTCGAGCACTACTGTCGCAATGCCATGAGCCGCTCTCCTTTCCGCCCCTCGACTCCCGCAAGTATGAACGCCGCCGATAAACAAAACAATGGCCATCTCGCCAAACCTCTCACCCCCGCCCTCAGCGCTGCCTTTCATCGCTCTCAGAAATCCCCTCTGACTCCTCGACTCGCTACTCCCGGCGGTTATCGAACTCCCAAGCGACTGACTCCCTCCGAACATCCCTCGTCCGTCCCCTCCAAGCGGGATCCCGAGCCACCCTCATCCCTGCTCAGTGCCAATGTTACCCCTCGATCCGGGTCCCGCAACAGCAGACGCGATGGTGCTATTTCCTCCCCCAACAACACCCCAACCAACGGGCACCAGCAACAGCAACAGTCGCCCCAAGTTTCCTGGTCACAACCGCATGTGGGCCAGCTGTCAAATACGGGGCGACTCCGGACGGAGCGGAGTCCCGTTCGGGGGGGAATGCTGGAACCATCGCGGACAACCCGGGCTAGGACCGTGACGATGGAGTCTAACCAGCTTTCTCGTCCAACTTCTGCGTCGGATAATTCAGCCGGAGCCCCCATGTTTTTTCATGCATCTGATGCACGTTCGACTATTTCCGAGCAGGAGCCCCGCCCGAAGCTGCAGACCAAGACGTCCGGCACCACTTTTATCTACGCGAACGGGGCGCAAGAGAGGCAGTCCCCGGTGAGTGAGGTAGGGGGGACGTATAAACGTCGGTCGATTGGCTTGACGCGATCGGTGGTGTCGGCGAAACCGTCTGCCTCGCCGCGACTGCGACCGGCCAGGGTAGACTCGAATCCACGGCTGTCTGATGGGCCGTCGGTAGTCGGGTCGCAGGATGACTCGTTTGACGCAGGGTCACAGGCCCATAGTCCCCCGTTGAGCAGTATATCAGCGCGACCGATCCCAGCTGTACGACACGTGAAGTCGTCGAGTCTCGACTCTGCCAATAGTGGACTCTCCCCTCCTCAGAGGGAAGGGCTGCGGCCAAGCCCGCTTATCATATCGCCATCAGAACCCAAGATCGACGCCAGCACTATCGCGTCTGAACCACTGCCAGGCCTCCGGCCGCGAGTGTTCAGCAACGGATCCATCGCTTCCGTGGATACGCATAACTCGGGGATGCAGAGCCCGTCCAAGTCGGAAAGCGGACAGGCCAACGGCGCCCTCAATGCGCGTACGGAGCGGAAGATCATGGATCTGGAAATTAGCAACTCGTCGCTTCTCGCCATTAACCGCACGCTAGAACGGGAAATGCGGAAGCAGAATGCAGAGCTGCGCAGATACCGACGCCTCAGTCGCTCGGGGCGTCTGTCCATGGCGACGTCCAGCCGGTCCGTGTCCGGGGCTCTCTCGATTCCTCCTGAAGTCGAGGAAGCGAGCGAGCATTCGTCTGTGCGGTCGCCAGAAGAACTCTCCGACTTTAGCGACGAAGACTCCATGGAAGACGGGGTCTTGAGTCCCGACTCGCAGGCAGATCAGGACTCCCAGCATCGTGCGCGGGACGAGAAACGGTTCCTCATCGATCTGGCGAAGCACCAGGAGCTTCTCGCCGACAGCCAGCGGCTGAACCAGAGCCTCAAGCGGTGTCTGGGATGGACGGAAGAGCTGATCCGAGAGGGACAGCGCGCACTGGAATATAATGTCCACGTCAATGATGTGCAGCTGGGCGGACGCGTGCTGACCCCGGAGGAGCTGAATGAGCTGAATGAGCTCAACGAGCTGCACGAGCAGCAAGAGCTGGAGCTATCTCGTCCATCGAGTCGGAGCGACTCCGAGCCACCTTCCGAGGATGGCTGATACCTACTATTATCTAGACTAATACGGCGTCGCTGGTGTACTGCTATTCTGTTGACTAAGCTGGTGTACTGCTATTCTGTTGACTAAAGCTGGCATTTAGTCTGCTTCCTATCTGTTTGTTTTCATATTTGTTTCGTGTTGATGGCGATAGATGGCGGCCGGCAGCTATTTGAGCTAGATACCCATACGCGTGATTTTCTAGCATACCATACCATATACCAATATCATACCTTTGCATCCACCCATCATTTCCACACACTATACTTCTCTACTAAGTAATGATAGAAATAATACTAAGGCCTCCCATCCCCAACCTGCCCCCCACCACTCCCCGCCCCCTGAATACACGCGTCCTCAAACGCCGCCAACTCCTGCATCTTGCCCACCCCATTCAAGAACCCCTCCAGGGCACAAAACCCATTCGCCCCCGCCGCATCCTTCTCACACCCAGACACCCCATCCACAGGAACCGGCATCTCATTCAACACCCACCTCACAAATTCCCTCCCTTGACCCTCCTTCACCACTTCATTCTCATAAACCACCTCCCCACCCCCAACATCCACCACAATCTCCTCAGCAGAAGAAGCCTCCTCACACCTCCACACCTCAGTAACAAACCTGGCCCCGAACGGCGCAATATGATTCAACCTGAACGTCCTATTCAGGGGCACTTCGTTAGGACTGATATCCCCCTTCATGCCCCCATCCCCACCTCCAATATTAAAATACTCCACCCCAAGCGCAGCCAACACCGAAACAATCACATCATCATGCGACATATCCAGATACAGCGGCTGATGTAACGGGAAGGTCTCCTTATTACTATCATACGTGATATTAACGTTGGCAACCTGCTCGGTTATAAGTTTTCCCTGTAGCCGGGCCGCAAGCTCAATCACATATCCAATACCCTGCGCTCTGCCAGAGGGTGATCCGAACCCGTAATCCCCGTAGAATTGCAGATCGAGGATGTATGCGTAGGATTCCCATTCGGAGGGTGTGAAGAGGGAACAGAAGGAGGAGGAGCCCAGCGTGGCGGTTTCGTATGCGCAGAGGTTTTGCATGCTGAGGATGTCGAGGGGGGTTAGAGTTATTGAGGGTGGGAGGTAGGTGGAGAGGCGGGTGATTATGGGGGGTGTGTATGTTTTTAGGAATTGTTCGGCGGAGTCGTCGCTATGGGGTGGTATAAGGTTAGTTATGTGGGTGTAGAGGGGATTCTTAAGGGGGGAAACGTACCCTTCGGAAGTATCTCCGTTCGGACAACTTCCTGACAGGGTATTATTGTACCCGTCTCCCTCGGGGATGATAACTAGGTTGTAGTTATCGGATGAGCTGTTTGCTGCGATGTTGCTGAAGAAGCCGCCTATATATACCAACCCTAATCAGTACACTTCCTCGCCATAGACCATGGGAATAGGGAATAAGGAGGGGAAAAGGCAGGCATACTCAACCACCACCTCGCACTCTCCAAAATCCTCGCCTGACTCGTCGTCCTAAACATGGGCTTATCCCTCCTCGTGCCATTAGGCCAGACATTCAACTCATTACTCCAGTCGGCCATGCCAGCCGGGGCATCATACAACACCCGGCCGTAGCGAGACCAGTGGAACGCACCGGAGGTGGCTTCCGTTGCGGCGCCGGTGGGGAGGAGGGCTTCTGTGCCCATGAGATAGCGCCATTTATTGAGGAAGGAGAGGGGACCTGTGGCGAGGGTGCTGTTTGGGTGTGACTGTGTGTAGTTCTGCAGCTTCTGGGCGAAGGATTCCATGCTGTCGGCGTCGAGGAGGTACGAGGTTGGATAGCGTTGTGCGTGCCGGTGGAGGATGTGTGCTTGCGTTAGTTGGCATTGTTGCGGGGTGCCTGGGGGAATTCCGAAGCCGGGGCTTGGGGTGTAGGGGGAGAGGTTGCCCCATGTTGAGGGGAGGGAGAAGGGGTGGGTTCTGTTGGTGGTTAGGGCTGTGGTGAGGGTGAGGCTTAGGAGGCACAAAAGTGCCGTGAGGAGGATCATGGTTACGGTGGTTAGAGAATTACATGGGGAGATGGTAGAGGGAGGGCAATGTCTTGATTTATAGGTAAAATTTCATGCGGATAATAATTGGATCAATCTATGTGACTAGGAAGTGGAGGATAGCGGACTCCGTCGTATCAATGCTGGCACGGCCTGCTAGATGTGCGGGGGCTGGTTGGTCATTTGTTTAGTTGGTAGTTGGAAGTAGTAGAGATAGGCATATTGCGGAGTCGAAGCTTTAGACCGGCTTAGTCTAGGACAAATCTGGTATAAAAGGAACAATGCAATGGATCCAATACTGCAGTAGTCATAGTGAGTGGTGAGTCCGGGAAAGCCCTCCGTGGCTGATTGTGGTAATTGGTCGCGTGAGGGTTGGAGACACTCGGAGAGAGACCGGCAATCCTGCCAAAGCGGGGTCGGGAGGGAATCAGTAGCCTGTGAGATGAAGTACTTCTGGCAGTAGGAAAGCTTATCAGAAGGTGAGACACGGCGGGACGGGTAGTAGGAGGGCTTAGTCTCTATCTTGGAGGGGCCTCGGTGAATGTTAGGGGTAGGATGCACGATTCCAGGTTTATACCACTGCCATGTACTTTAGGGTATGCCGTTGTTATGAGGTGACTTTAGTTATAGTACTCAGCATTGTTCATAGGTGGTACTAGGAGATACTACTTACACAAAATAACTTCTTAGTACTACTGCTTCCTCCTGCAGCCGTCTTACAGCATCCCCGCTACACCTGCAGGTTTAGCCCGCGGTGTACCTTCGATCGTACGACGTCACTTACTCCGCATTTACTAGTATTAGTGTTCCTTGGAAGTCGGAGATGTCCGGTTCAGTAACGGTGAGTCACTTAGTAGTAGTAGTAGTAGTAGCAGTAGTAGCAGTAGTAGCAGTAGTAGTAGCAGTTTGCTGATTACCGGGACACCGTTACGGCCGAGATATATTTCTGTCGGAAAGATTAGTAGCACTACTCGTGACTGTTTCAGCCCTACAGGCACCACAACCCATACTACTAGGGGTATGAAGTAACAGTCTACTGCGGCAGTACTTGGTATCTGCTACTCTATTACGATCTGATATACTCGCTACACACATATCCAACTGTCCAGTCTGAAAACAAAAATAGACTATGCAAGGTATCTAGGCAGTGGCAGTAGGCTCTTCGTGATGGTGCTCGTGCTTCTTCTTCTTCTTCTTGTCCTCCTTGCCCTTCTTCGTCATCGACTCCGCCATCAGCTGCTCAAACGCCATGAAGTCGCCCTCCTCGTCGGGATCGCGCTCAGCCTGTACCAGTTAGCATACACCCAAAGGTCTTGCAGTAGATAAACGTAGTGGCATACCTTGGAGTAAATGTTACCCGCAATCACCAGAGCATGAGCACGCTCAACGCGCTTGTCCAGCTTGATGCGCTTGTCTCCGAGCACCTGGTCACACACATCGCGCAGCACGCTCTGGATCTCGAACTTGCTGCCCCGCCACGCTGCCGCCAGAATCTTGCCCGTCACCTTCTTCTCGTACTCGGCCTTCTTCTCATCCGTCCAGTCCTCTCCACCGCGCTCTTCCAGCTTGGCCATCTCCTCCATGGTCATCTGCGCATCGATGGCGGTGGAGATGGTGGTCCAGGTCTCCTTGGCCAGCGTACCCTTGTCCTTCAAGCGCGAGAAGAACCCAGAAATACCGAGGAACTTCTGCGACTTGAGGAACGAGGTAGCCTTCTGCACATAGGTGGCGCCGATGGCGTGCAGGATCTCCAAACCGAACGACTCCATCTTCAGGTTCTCCACCTCCAGACGGATCTTCTCCTCGAACGCTCGGGTCATTTCAGGGCTCTTGTCGGTTTCCGTCCACACGCTGATCTTGTCCACCAGCTTCGTGGCCAGAGTGTTGACGCGCTCCTCGCGCGCCTTCTTGCGCTCCAGCTCGTACGCCGCCAGACGCTCCTGTTGCTCCCGGGACAAACCACCCTTCTTCTTCTCCTTCTTGCGCAGCTCCTTCTCCTCCTGGGACAGACCAGCTGCCTCCATGCGTGCCTCTTCCTCCGACTTGTCCATGATGGCCTGCTGGCCCATGTAGCGGCGGGGGGTGCTCGTGCCGGAGCTCGGGGATGCGGCGGGCTTCTCGGAAGCGGCAGTCGTCGACTCGGCGGGGGTAGAAGCAGCTTGAGCAGCACCTTCGGCAGTGCCTTCAGCGTGCTCCTGCTCATCGTGGATGTTCAGTTTCTCCTCGGCGGATGCGGCCAGTTCTTCCTCCTCCATCTGCTGCATGGTGATGTCCATAGTAGTGGTGAGGTCCTTCATGAGCGAGATTTCACCGATAAGGTCTACAAAGGCGTTGCCACCGAAGATCATGCCAAAGAATTCCGAGGGGTCCTCTGCATGGTATTAGTATCCGACTGTCTCCTGCGACAAGATGTGTCTTACCGAAACCTCCACCGGGGACAGCATCTTCCTTTCCAAACTTATCGTAGCGCTTGCGGAGTTCTTCATCGCTGAGAACTTGATAGGCTTCACCGATCTGTCATGTAGAGATGGAGTCAGCGCATGTCGTGACCACAAACAAACAAAGGTATCTACCGACCTCCTGGAATCGCGCATGCGCAGTCTCATCGCCGGGGTTCTTATCTACGACGGTTAGCGCTGGACAGCCAGATGGCCGCTGCAAACGTACCCGGATGGTGAATGATGGCCAGTTTACGATAGGCCTTCTTGATCTCGAGTTCGGTGGCAGTGGGCGGCACCCCGAGGGCGTCGTAGTAGGAAGTGTCGGCAACCATGGCGGGCAATGTGAGCAGGACCCAACCACGCAATCAATCTAGCGGTCACCGATGCAGAAAATCAAGGCCAGCCGGCAGGCGAGTTGCAGGAATAGATGTGGACCAGAAATAGGACGGGCTGGTAGAGACGGCAGTTTTGATGTGTCTCCTGTAATTTTTTCTGCCTAAATGATGTTATTTTGGCTTTTAGTTTTCCGCTGGATTTCTTCCGTCATGGCGGGGAGACAAAACAGTCACTTGCCAATGCAGATGGCCTGAGGCGGGCAGTCCGTCACGTATGGTAATACAATAGTCGCATTCCCTACTGTCTACTACAAACATGTCATGTATCTGTGTACTGCCGTGGTAATACCGGCATCTGCGCCTGCACGCGCTCAGCCGCCAGCCAGAGCCGCTAGCCGCGCCGCCTTTCAAGCGGGCCTTTAAAATTTTCCTTCTTTCGCTTTCTTTTCTTCTTCTTCTTTCTTTTCCTTCCTCGTCTTCTGTTTATTCCTCCTTCTCCCTCCTCTTCCTCTTCCCTCCCCCTGATTTTACCCTCTCCTCCCAATTGTTTACTTATTTCCTCTTCCTCTACACTTCTACCTCTCCCTCTCCCTCTCCTCCCTCCTCCTTCCCTCCTACTCCTACATTCCTCCCGTCTGCTTGACTGGATTCCCCGTCTCCTCTCCACCTCATCCTCCCCAGCCAGTGAGGCATTCGCTCGCTGTGCTTGTACATTATTGTACCATCCCATCCCTTTCTTTCCTCGCGAATTCCGTTGATTCGGTCATTCTCCGCAATCACTTCCATTCCCTTTCTTCTTACGTGTAATAATTCCTATTTTACCCTAATTCTTTTTTCCCCATCCCGTCATTTTTGACCGTTCGATCGTAATCTACCCTTCACCATGGGTCTCGCATCGAATGCCATCTACTACACCTTTCATCCCTCGGAATTGAGGTCGATTATGCAATGGTTGGTTCCGGCCCTTGTCCTCGACCGGCTATGATGGGGTTTAGTGTGTTGTGCCAACGCTTACGAAGGCTTTGCCCGTGGTCATAGGAAGATCTGGCACTCCCCGGTTCATGAGCGCAATGAGAATAATGAGACCGAGACCGAGAAGGCCTGCTTCAAATTCCTCGACCTGACCAGTCGGAGCTTCAGCGCTGTCATCAAGGAGCTCCACCCGGAGCTGTTGATGCCCGTCTGCGTCTTCTACCTCACACTTCGCGGGCTGGACACGATTGAGGACGACACGTCGATTCCTTTGGAAACAAAGGAACCTCTGCTGCGTGGCTTCAAGGACTTCCTGGAACAGGATGGCTGGACCTTCAATGGCAACCGCCCCGAGGAGAAGGACCGTGAGCTGCTGGTTCAGTTTCACAATGTCATCACCGAGTTCAAGAAGATGAAACCCGCCTACCAGGCCATCATCAAGGACATCACCGACAAGATGGGCAACGGTATGGCCGATTACTGTCGCAAGGCGGCCTTTGATGACGCCAGCGTGATCACCGTCGAGGAATACGACCTGTACTGCTACTACGTCGCTGGCTTGGTCGGTGAAGGACTGACGCGCCTCTTCGTCGAGGCCGAGTTTGGTAACCCTGCCCTGCTGGAACGCGTGCGTCTGCACAAGTCCATGGGACTCTTCCTCCAAAAGACCAACATCATCCGAGACATCCGAGAGGACGACGATGATGGACGTCGCTTCTGGCCCAAAGAGATTTGGTCCAAGCACGTCACCAACTTTGAAGACCTGTTCAAGCCGGAGCACCGCGAAGCTGCACTAAACTGCAGCTCCGAGATGGTGTTGAATGCTTTGGAACACGTCGAAGACTGCCTGTTCTACCTGGCTGGTCTGCGTGAGCAGAGTGTGTTCAACTTCTGCGCTATCCCGCAATCCATGGCCATTGCCACGCTGGAACTTTGTTTCCGCAACCCCGCGATCTTCGAGCGTAACATCAAGATCACCAAGGGTGAGGCGTGCCAGCTGATGTTCGAGTCGACGCAGAACCTGCGTATCCTCTGTGCTGCCTTCCGCAAGTATGCGCGCAAGATTCACAAGAAGAACACTCCCAAGGACCCTAACTTCCTCAAGATCAGCCTTGTTTGTGGACGGGTATGCTCCTCTTATATACTCTTGCTTTTGACCCTTGCTAATAATTATAGATTGAAAAATGGATCGAAACCATCTTCCCCAGCCAGAATGCCGAGGCCGCCAAGCGTCGTATCACTGGCGAGCTGACGGAGGCGGAGAAGAAGCAGGCCGAGGAGCACGCCGAGACACGTAAGGACATGTACTTTATGATGGGCCTGATGGTGGTGATTGTGTTCATCACCTCGATTGTTATGGTATGTGCCTCACTTCACCTCTCTCCGACCCAGCTAACCAGACTAGATCTTCACTGCCTGGCTACTCGGTGCACGATTCGACCTGGCGTGGCAGGAGCTGCGGTCCGGCAACTTCCGGCCACCCAGGGAAATCCGCGCAAAGAAAGAGCTGTAATGCATTCTACGGAGTTATGACTGATTGATCTACTAGCTGCGGGGCTTATGTCTTATACCTTCTGCCTACCCGCTTATTTACTATACTAATTTATTACCTTCTTCTTCCCTTCCTCGGTCTCTATGGTTTTTGCAAGTCGAACTAGCACGGATGTCAAATTGCGATCCAGTCTTTCCATGACTGTGGTTGTGCCGAAGAAGTGCTGATATTGAGCGGATTATTCTGACCAGCGACGTACTAGATTTGTGTCTTCCAACTTAAGTGTTGAGGTGGCATACATCCATTGAGGACCTGGAACATACGTAATTACATAGTAAATATGAGTTAAATATATAACCTTGATCTTCAAACATGCTGTTTCCTTCAATAAACCAAAATGACTTTGTAATTCCAATGTTGTCCTAACCAATATGCTAATTATGTAGTCCGTACTCAACCACATTGATCGCTTCTAACACATCGGGATGCCCCCAACTATAATCCCTCCCTAAGTACATCACACCCTCCTCCCCTTAACCTCAACCCTCCACCCTAATCTACATAATAACATACCCCAAAAACAAAACAAACTACCTATTCAACTAAGAAGATGCCCCCACATCCTGAACAATCACCCCCAGAATCCAAACATTAACCGCAAAAAACCCCACCGAAGCCAAAAACAACCCGGGCATGAAACTACTCAACCCCAGAAACTCCAGATTATATCCTTGTTGCAGCCACAGTGCCTGCCACACATTCATTAATCAGTACAATCCATAAATAAATATTTGATATAAGAATGAAGGAAAAGTGATGTGATAGGGATAGAACATACCTGCCCAACGACCCACGCAGCCGCCACAACGCCCCCAAACCGCGGAGCCTTCAGCAACGAAGAACCCGGGAGATAGAAAGGGAGGAAGATGAGGTACCAGAGGAAATACTACAACGATTTTCCTATCAGCTCTGCTTTCGTCGTAAGTAAACTAAGGAAAGGGGGTGCATATACCTGACTCGTACAAACCTTATTAAAGGTAACAAATGCGAACGTCTGCGCGAGCATCGCCCCAGGGAGACTCTTCTTCGCCAGGACGAGCGGGATAACCACAACAGAAAGAAGTAACTGCGGGATAAACGCCAAGGACTCAAAGTTCCCTTGCACCTCGCCTGCAGCAGAGAGGTAGAGGAGGGTACTGTAGGGGGAGAAGTTATGGCGGTGGTCGATGCGCGTGAGATGGTGGAGAAAGGTATGTTGCAGGAAGGGGGTATCGTAAAGTGAGTACATGAGGAGATTGAGGAGAGTGAAGGTGATGAGGGAAGTGAGGGTGAGGATGATGCGGGGGGGAGTGATGAAGTTGATCAACTTGGTGACGATACTGGTATCTTTGCTTCCAGCAGCGTTCTTTAACGCGCTGCTGCTGCCGTCTCGTTCGCGATCCAACCACCAAATAATCGACACTCCGTAGATAAACGGGTAGATCTTGAAATGCACACTTAGTCCCAGCAAGACACCCGCCAGCACGATCCTTCTGCGAAGCACAGCCCAAAGCAGAGCAATGACCAGCACTCCAAGCAGCCCCTCAGAGGAACCCCGGGTACTAATGTTGGCGACCATGGGGTTCAGAAGCCAGAAACTAGCGTACTTCAAGGCGCGAGGAGCGTCCATTCCGTACGCGGAGACGAGGGATCTAGCGATGAGCCATCCGGCGAGAACGTCGGAGAGGGCGAAGAGGGCCTTTCCAAAGGAGAAGAGTAGAGATGGGCCGGTCCAGGAGGTCGGGAGGAGCAGCCATGCTAGGAGGGGCGTGTAGCGATAAGTGTCTCTTTCGTAAGGCGAGGCGCCGTGGGAGACGTAGCGGGCTGCGTCGGTGAAGACGAGGTAGTCGATGTCGGTGTATTTGACGGCGGAGTTGGCGTCTTGCCAGGCGCCATAGATGAGGAGGATGGCGCGGAGAGCTATGGCGGAGGTGTAGACTAGGGTGGGGGATTGGAAGAAGGATGATGATGATGCCATTTTCGAGGGCATTTTGATGGTAGTGTTGTGGTTGGTTACTTCATCGGTGATAGCTTACTCCTGGGGCAACCTGGAGGTGAGGATTTCGGCTGGATGGGATGTTGTAGGTCGCCGAGCAATATGGTAGTAGCTAGTATGTACAGATTTGCTGTTCTCACCATCCTATGTCTATTTGGTGGGCATCGTGGGTTCTGGTTGGTTAGATGAAGCTATCCCGACGCGAGGAAACGTGACCGGTTCGGTGCTGAGTCAGCAGGAAGATGATCTTGCCTGATTAGGAAGCTGTGTATCTTGAAGAGGAGGGTCTCATTCAAGATATTTTTTCTATTATACTGCGTCTCACATTTCTGACGCGGAAGTTAAACTACGTGGATTCAGTCGAGATGTGTGATTTCCTTCTTGATTCATAATGAAGAGGTGCCCACCTCTATCAGATTTCATTAGCATGTGTTGACTCATAGCTAGTTTGTGCCTTCCAAGGTTGAAAATACATTGCTAAGCAGTACCTTCTGCTATCCTGATACCATGTTCTCAGTACAAATCCTCCGAATCGCCCGTAAATGCATCAATCATGAATAACTATGTGATCTGAAACCGCTAAGATAGTGAATGAGCTGTAACAAGTACCAAGCGAGCGAATAATAAAACACCATGTGACAGAATTGAACACCAGCAGCGATGAGGCTGCACCACCCTAGTAGAAAGACGGCCCTGAATTGATGAAAAATGTTGAATCTCCCAATTGACCTCCAAAATAAGTACTCTCGCTGCTTCCATACTTTGTATTCCTTTCCTCCTGGGGAAACAGTGGTGCGTTGTTGATATTGTCAATATCAGCCAAACCCTGCAACAAGTTACTGTCGCTCCAGCTAAGAAAGTCCCAAAGATACTGCCCAGCAGAATCATTGATAAACTGGGGCTCAAAAGGATCCACAAATCCATTCTCGTGTGGCATTGCGCGACCGAAGTCAATTTGCAACGGGGATACCCCAGGCACTGCGCCAAGATCTTCAGTAGCTGTCACACAGCTACCGCTGTTAATGCTGTGGGCTTCTCCGGTGACATTGTGGCACCGTTTACCAGCCTCAAAGATCCGGGAAACGGCTTCTAGCGTCGATTTGGCGGCTGGACTCCAAGGTTCCAAGCGCTCTAGGACAAGCATTGTTGTTTCCACTTGGGCCTGACATGCTTCAGCTGTCGCTCTCGGGTCATCAACTGTACCATCATTGAGGAACAGTCCTAGAAGAGGAACCATTGCAGCCTGGAAGATAAGCCATACTGCGTTCCAGCCCGACATCTGATGGAATTGTGCCTTGGTAGCTACATCCTGTATGGTAGCCTCGGCAATCTCCCTACATCTTTCAATAGCTGTCCTTTCTTCGGACCTGAGCACAATGTATGGTACGCGGCGCATGGCGTAGCTGAGCAGAGTGGGGCGATACAAGAGCATCCGCTGATTGTAATATCGCCATTTCATGACAGTCCTCGTGATTGCGATCGACTCCGAGCATGGCTCGTGGTCTTTGAGAATATACGGGAGGTTATCATACCATTCGAGAAGCTGACTATCAAGATTTGCCATTTCGTGAGGCTTTGTCAACGGTGCTACGGCCAGCACCTCCTGGATTTGTGTCGCGATCTTGCAGAATCGAACATTTTCCAGAAGTGGTAGAAGGTCGAGCACATTCCCCTAATAGGTCAGCAAAGAAAGAAAAGAAAATCAGAAAAGGGAAGACATACTGTTTCCCTATAATGTGGCAACTTAACGGTGATCGCTGGACCCAGTCGACCCATGCTTGGTCGGCCCAAGGTCATGCCACCCCACGTGTCCAGACAGAACAGAGACCACCAGACTCGACGTTTGTGATCAACTGAAAATAACCTATTCCTGCTGTTGCCGTATTGACCATCCGAGACTTCCTTGTGCAAGCCCAGAGCTGCGGCCATGCGCAATGCCGCCCCCATCATGGAGTACGCGAGGTTGGGCTGGCTGCTATAGTGGAGGTAATAGCCACCCATGAGGCCCAGAGCTTGAATGGTTTCTACGTGCGGGGAACCAAGGCTTTCCAAATCCAAATGGCTCTTTGACCGCATATAATATGCTTGATGAGACATGTCATCGGCAGGGGTGGCTGCTATGCTGCCCAAAGCAAAGACAATGTTAAGCAACGCGAGCCATTGCTTGTCCTTCCTGCGCGAAGAAAGATACGTTTGGCGAAAAGAATGTTCGTCCAGCATTGGAACAAACGGTTGAAAGTAGGTAAAGTAAGCGTCAAGCAGTTGAGACTCGGGCACAGTTGAAGTGCCATGGTGCGACTGAGACCCAAAGACCTGCCAGGCCTGGGCCTCTGGCGAAGAAATCTCCATGACAGAATCCCGACGAACTCCTGTGGCAGGTGCGCGAGACAGGTGAGAGAGGGAGCTCGGCTCTAGCCATACTATCACCTTTAACACAGCATGGATGGAAGACACACCCAAATAGGAGGATGGCTGTTTGGCCGAGAGAGATAAAGCGTTGACATCGTCGGACACGGTACTCGTGAGCTCGGAACTCTTCAATTCGCGATCATCAGTTGTGTGATCAGGTATGGTTTGTAAAGACTCGAGATTGCCGTCTTCGCTGGATGCCGGAGATGCGTGAGCCTCCACTGATGCCGAGGTTGCTGGGGATGCCGGGTGTGGCGCTTGCGTCTGCATCTGGGAAGCCCCCTTGCCTGTCAGCTCCAAGAGCTTGTCCCGAGGCAAGTTGACTAGGGTCTCCGCTGGAATGCCAGGGAAGAGCTTGTCAAGCACTCCTCTAAATTCATCGAGTGTGGTCGATAGTTTCTCCACATGCCTGCTTGATTGATACATTTGTTAGTTTCGAGTCGTCCCTCGATCGCGGCTGCAGTGGAGGAAGGGGACAGTCACACCTGCGAGATGGCCGAGGATCAGAGTACTGACACAAATCTGCTTTCTTATACCATCTGCATGCTTCACATGGCTTTTCTCCGTCACATTTAATTTTTCGGTGCCGACAAGATGTGCAGGCCCGGAGCGTAGTGACTCGGCGTCCGACAGATTGTTGACGTTGGTTGCGTCCACGCACAGTAGTCGGAAGAGATGGGTTCTCGAACCCTTCGAACGTATGAAACATTGCTTTGCGATCGGGGGATAGTTTGCTGGAGACTTTTGCTTGACGGATAGTCGGGAAGTGTACCCGTTGAGACACTTTAGGGTGGCGAGATTAACTCGAAAGGGCCATTGGCACCGAGTCGCAGGGAGACCAGCAGGTTAGATGCACCGAAGAGCAGGGATCCTTGTTTGTCAGAGGAGGAAATAGCAAGTGGATCAAATAGACCGAGCAAGTAGTCCGAGTCAGTTATGCAGGTAATCAGTTAGTTGCTGCAGTGGTCATTGTCCGAGGAAACAATGAGGGTAGAAGTAGAAGAAAAGCAAAGAAAGGCTCATCAAACGAAGACGGTGAAGAGGAAGAAAAACACAATATATCCACGCGGGAACTCAGCTCCTGTTTTGGGGAAGTGAGCAGGCCAGCCTCGGGGTTAGACGATCATCGGCAGCGTTGACGCTGGGAACATCACGGTTTGCACCGAGAGAAAGCAGGAGGTGCCCAACAACGGAAGTTCCTGGACGAGGACCCTCGCAGGCCACCAGTGGTCAGCATGGCCTCCACCCCCGCATTTCGTCCTTTTAATTTATTTTATGCAGGATGCGACCGTTTCTGTCTGGTTTCTGCATGCTGGCAGACGAACCGACCTGCAGACCCTGTTGGCTGCCTACTATATTCAACCCTGCGCCTAATTATACGCAGGGTACGAGAAGGGTTGTGTGATGCGTTCACAGACTCGGCAAACAGCATATGGTGGTCTGTTCTCCTGGCGCCTGAATTCATCGGTCCAGTAACCCTGTCCGGCGTGGAATTATACACGCCTGAGTGTGATGATGATGCGTCCTTCCACCTATCACTAGCCCTCGGTGAGCCCCGGGTCTCCGAGTGATTTTTCTGTCTTTTGTAAATGCTGGGCCTTACCCCAGGTTGAGGCTATCCAATAGATGGCCGGACCAAGCACATCTGGTACGCTAGTCCCCATCAGAAGCATTTGCTCTTGCACCCAGCACCGTCCCAATGACACAATTCTACAAATTATCACACTGAGCTATGGGGTATCAAGCTCAGGAGATGGACGTGTAACTCAGGGGTCCAGAGAAAATAGTAGTGGAGTGGGCTTCTGCTAGGGCCGGCTACTCCTGAGCCCAAGAGCTAGTAGTGCGGGAGACTGAGTATAGCAACGCCGGTCCACCACGCTCAGACATTGTGGTGCCACCTGATTGCTTAATGGCCAGGCAAGAAGTAAGAACATCTGTGTGTCTGACAAGGTTTGCCGGATGTAATCGGCGTGCTTGGTGAACTATCCTTTCATCCGCGACCTGGAAGCTTACTGTTCCTGGGTCGCCCTACACCATGTCGTCCGAGGGGCAAAAATGTATCAGGGTTTATACAAGATTATGCCCACTTCCAGGGTCTTCGTCCAGTTTGGTTGCTGGGTGAAATGTGCCTCCGCCAATTAAATGCACGACCCCGCATGAGGTGGCCAGTTCCTCATTTCCAAAATTAATTAAATCCCGTGCAGGTGTCAGATGCCGGAGCAATTTTGTCGGGGGACTGGCTATGTCTAACTTTGAAAGGCCTGCTGAAGCTCTTGTGCACTTGCAATTTTTGCCATCCAACCAGACGTAGTAGTCTTCCAGAATCGCTTGGTGTAGATCTGGGGTGACTGACAGTGCACATCACGTCTGTGAGGCATTCTTGTCAGGTTTTCAACAACTGGAACTCGGGCTGAACCGAGCCGTCTCAGGGGACAGAGGATTCGGTGCACGACAATAATCTCGGCTTGTCGGGAAGATGACAACCAATCGCCGAAATACTCACCAATAGCAGCGGTGGGTAAACAGGCTAATTTCACTAGACGCCAAGAGTGAGACATTTTATCCTTTCACATGCACGCCAAGCCAGCGCGGCACCTGATGGGATAGCCAGGGCCGTTTTACCCAGAGGTCCTGGATCATGGATAGCAGGCACGAAAATGCCGAGAAGGAGGGGTGCGTCGGTTACTAGCGCTCAGGATTCAGGCAGTCGACTCACTCTTGCTCTGGTGCAAAGAGATGAGGAGTGAGGAGTCGTAATTCCAAGCGACGAGGGGTAGGCTAGTGGCGAAGGACCGGAGGATGTTACCTCGCGACGGCCTTGCCGTATTATGGGGTCGCTTAAGAAGGTGGGCGCCCGGACCGTCTTGAAGGCCGCAACCAAGCCGGCAAAGAAAGGTGAAGTGGTCACTGGAGAGTTGGTGACGGGCGATCGTTTTATCTGGAGATCTTGAGAGCTGTCAGGTACTATCTTCGGACGATAAAGAACGACTCTCACCGGAGGACGATTCCAAATTAGTGTGCGGAGCACCTGCCGTGCCATAATGGGTAAGGTCGGAGCGAAGTGTCTCACAGTAGACACAGCGCGGTTTCGGATAGACAGTGGTTTGGAGAGTATGATTGTGTTAGTCACAGAGGGATTCCTAATGCAAATCTTTTGTGTACTGAGGCCTATGATAGCAGGCGATGATAGCAAGCTTCATTGTGTGGTCTATACACGACAATGAGAGAACGAGAGGATATACAGAGTTAACTGTGGGAGAGTTGATGGAGAGGAAGCGATGCCCAATTGGGAAAGGCCCCGTGCTCCGTCAGGGGATCGCCCAAAAAGGAAATGGCAGCACGTGGAGGCGGGGACTTCTCCGCATAGCTTCCCCAGGCACCCACTCTGTAAAGCCTCACCCTGGACCCTGGATGCAACTATATCCATACCTATTGCTGTGTAGTATGTTTCAAAGGCTATGGGGTTTTTTATTTATTGAGCTCTGACTGTCCGGCTTGAAATTGGGTTGAAGCAGCAATCAATTGCCGGTTCCTGTATCAATTACCCCTCCAAGACCCCATGATGGCAGCATTCGCGCAATACACTCTGTCAACAGGGTGGTACTTTAAAGATAGGGATGACCTTGCTTCAGACGCATGGATGCCAGTTCCTGTCGTTCCGTCTGTCGTTCACCAGGACCTACAGGCGAATGGAAAGTGCGTACTATTACGGAATCTTTCGCGGCAAACGTCGCTAACGTACATATTGGATATTGTTTAGGCTGGAGAACCCATACGTGGGGTTCAATGAACTAGACGCACGATGGGTCAACGACAAGTCATGGACATACCGCAAGATACTGCAAAGGCCAACTGTCCTGGCAGGATCGAGGATTGTCCTGGCATTCGATGGCCTTGATACATTTGCCAAAGTCAAACTTGATAACAATGTTATCCTAGAAAGCAATAACATGTTTCAGGCCTATCGAGTAGATGTCACCGAGGCTCTGGATTGCGGAGATGAGCACGTTCTGGAGATTGAATTTGATTGTGCGATGCTGCGTGCCCAGGAACTTCGGAGACAGGACCCGAAACACAACTGGGCCTCTTTCAACGGGGATCCCGCGAGGATGAGCGTCAGAAAAGCTCAATATCATTGGGGCTGGGACTGGGGCCCGGTCCTCATGACGGCAGGTATCTGGAGAGCAGTGAGATTGGAAGTTTATTCCACAAGGTTGGCAGATCTCTGGGCGGAGATCGATCTGGTCCCCACTCACAAGTTTGCTTCTATTTCAGCATTTGCAGAGCTTGACCTTGTTGATCTTGAACCACCATACAAGGTCAACTTCACCATCACACTACATGGAAAGCAAATTGCTCAAGCAGAAGCCACACCCCAAGACGGCAGGGCAAAGGTAGAGTTCAGCATAGACCAGCCTCGCCTTTGGTGGCCACACGGATATGGTGATTCCACTCTTTACGAAATTTCAGCTTCACTGAAGACCGATCAACTTGAACTCCATAGAGTTACCAAGAAGATTGGAATCAGGACTGCTGAAGTCGTGCAGCGGCCGGACAAGCACGGAAAATCGTTCTTCTTCCGAATTAACGGTGTGGATATATTCTGCGGCGGGTCGTGCTGGATTCCCGCAGACAACCTACTTCCGAACATCACTCCGGAGCGATATCGAAAATGGATCGAGCTGATGGTTGCCGGCCGCCAAGCCATGATCAGGTCTGTTCCCTTGCCCAAATGTAGACTTAGGACTAACAATACCTAGGGTATGGGGCGGTGGTTGTTACGAAGACGATAGTTTCTACGAGGCTTGCGATGAGCTCGGTGTTTTAGTGTGGCAGGACTTCATGTTCGGATGTGGAAATTATCCAACCTGGCCCGAACTATTGAAGTCTATCGAACAAGAGGCGATCTACAACGTCCGCCGCATGCGCCATCATCCATCCATTGTAGTCTATGTTGGTAATAATGAGGACTACCAAGTCCAGGAACAGGCCGGTCTCGAATATAACTACGAAGATAAAAACCCTGAAAACTGGCTAAAGACAGACTTTCCCGCCAGATACATCTACGAAAAGCTGTTGCCGTCAGTGGTTGAGCGCTTTTCACCGAACACGTTCTACCACCCAGGCAGCCCTTGGGGTGACGGCAAAATAACCTCCGATCCTACAGTCGGCGATATGCACCAGTGGAATGGTAATGCTGCTTCCTCTCACACTTTATTCAACTCAGGAAACTGACGGTTGTAGTTTGGCATGGCACGCAGGAAAAGTATCAAATCTTCGATACGCTAGGTGGCAGATTCAATAGCGAATTCGGCATGGAGGCTTTCCCGCACATGTCAACGATCGAATACTTCGTCGAGAATGAAAAAGACAAATACCCGCAATCGCACGTTCTTGATTTCCATAACAAGGCCGACGGACACGAACGTCGCATCGCTACTTACCTTGTCGAGAACCTGCGAACTGCTACTGACCTCGAGGTGTGTGACCATTTACCCAGGTTAACCAGCATTGCTAACGCGTCGAACATAGACCTACATCTATCTCACCCAGGTTGTCCAGGCCGAAACAATGATGTTCGGATACCGTGGGTGGCGTCGCCAATGGGGAGACGAAAGACACTGTGGCGGTGCACTACTCTGGCAGCTGAATGATTGCTGGCCGACTATCTCATGGGCTATTGTCGACTACTTCCTGCGGCCCAAGCCCGCCTACTACGCTGTAGCCCGTGTATTGAACCCAGTCGCCGTAGGTGTACGACGAGAACACCACGACTGGAGCATCACCCACGCGCAGCCCCCAAAGACAAGCAAGTATGAGCTCTGGGTGGTCAGCTCCTTACAGAAAACTATATCCGGAAAGGTCGAGCTCAGATTCCTCTCCGTGGACACTGGACGAGAGATACGGGAGCGGATTGTGCGAGAAAACGTCGACATAGTGTCCAATGGGACTACAAACCTTATCATCGACGGGATCATCGACCACACCATTGATACAGAACCCCACGTCCTCGCTGCTCGACTGTGGGTGGATGATAAAATCGTTGCGCGAGACGTGGATTGGCCTCAGCCATTCAAGTATCTTGATTTTGCGGATCGTGGACTTGAGGTAAAGAAGGTTTCTGAAGCCTCTGATCAGCAGGTGTTCCAGATCAGCACCCAGAGGCCCGTCAAATGTTTGGTATTCGAGGAACGCGACGGTGTCAGATTTAGCGATAGCGCGATGGATATTGTTCCTGGTGATGTTCAGACAGTCACGGTCACGGGGCTGCGGGTGGATGAGACGTTGAAGTACAAATTCCTCGGCCAATGATTCTACAATTGACAATATCTAGCGATGCATTTGATTCACATAGTACTGCAGCAAAGATTCTCTTTCTTTTTGATTACGCTCTAGTAGATCAAGCAAAATTGTGTTCGCTTGAGCACTTATGCATATACCATTAGCTCTTCTTCAATTTCTCCGAGCACAAGAACCGAATATCGATACCAAAGGCAGTCTATATAAGAGAACTCCAGGTCATATCCCAGTCCATTTGTAGCCCGAGTTATTCGTGAAGGAAACAGTCCAACCGGACATTTGTCTATTCAACAAAATAAGAAGACACATGAAATATGTGATAAAAACGACAGACAGTACTTCTCATACAATCATACATCATGACCAGCTGCCTCACAAGAGGCCCCGTCAAAACCGCCCATAGCGACGTCGAGCTTCAAATCTTGGCGAGACACTACACTCTTGAGGGGAGTTAGTACTATATCTTTCCGAACGTATAGAAAGGTGAATACCTCTTCAACGGTATCTTTCATGATATACCGAGTAATCACCACCGGTCGCTTTTGTCCGAGACGAACAACGCGACCAATTGCTTGCTGCTCGACCATCGGATTCCACGATGGTTCCATAATATGCACCCGTGTGGCGATGGAGAGATTCAGTCTGCTTAAATATCAACTATTTTGCACGTAAAGACAGTTTAGGAAGAGGAATAAATACCCAACCGCACCGGTGCCAATGGTCATCAGAAGTATATTCACGTCGCTGCTTGTCTGCTTGTCTTGAAGCTTTGGAATGCTTGCTGACGCTGCGAAAACGACATGGACCCGTCTACTCGGGCGAAGGCAATGTCGTGGTGGCGTAACAGCTCTGCCATGATGTCGAGGCTCTTGGTCCAGGCTGAGAAGACAATTCTATGAGCGAGGTTAGAGTAGCCAGATAGAAGATTAGGAATTTGGGCATACCCTTTCTCTTGCGGGATATGGCCAAGGATAGTCTTCAAAATGGCGTGATGTTTTGTTGAGAACGTCCCTTCGAGAGCTTGCAGAGATTGATCGACCAGAGATAAGTACTCAGGGGTCAGCGATTCCCGGACCAAATTAGGAGCGTGCAATAGCTCCGACGCAGGACCTTCTATTTTTGCCAGGTCCAGCATATTACTGCTTTGTCGGGACATTCTGCAAGGTTCGCCGACCGAATTAGAGGATTCAGGAGAAGTTTTAGAGTCAGAGAGTTTGTATGAGCCAAGGGCTAGAGCTTCACTGTCAGTACCAGGAGACTGAGACTCATGGTTTCCTTGCCAAAAATTCAAGTACTCTTCAGAAGTGAGGAGATCGGTAGGGGAGGCTCGGATGTCCTTCTTTCTGTAAAGCCCATTGTTGCAGAATATTCGCAGCTGCAGAACTGTTTGGAACCCACCCACGGAGCCCCCTTTGCTGACTGAGACATCAATGAGCCTATTGTGATAGTCCAATATGTTAATGTATGCTTCTCTTTCCTCGGGAGCCAGGTTCAACTTCAGATTGTTGATCGTTGGTTTCACAAGCATTCCAAGGCTCATAGTTCGACGAAGGCATATACAACCAAGAAGTAAGCGAAGGTTTTCAAAGCGATCGCCGCTTATATTGTAGGTTTGGTTGATGATGTGCTTCCGGAAAACCTCTCGGTCTTCAAGTAGTGGGACACGAAGGAAAGACACCAGGGCACCAAGATCATCGAGATCGTTCTGTATTGGGGTCCCAGTGAGACACCAGCGTCTGTCTGCTGAAATATTACACGCCGCTTCATGGATCATCGTGGACCTTGATTTTATGTGGTGTGCTAGACATTGTTTGTTATCAAGAATCTTTATGCTGTTTGATAATACTATTCGTACCTTCATCCAGAACGATGCGAAAGAAGTCTGTCTGGAATATTGGACTTTCCTTCCCAGTGAAATCCGTACTGATAGTTCCGTATGTTGTCAACACAATATCGTAGTCCTCGAAGGTGGGAAAATGGACTTTGCGCGAGGCACCGTGGTATTTGCAGGTTTTAAAAGTTCCCGGCTTAAATTTACTTATCAAAATTAGAACTATACTCAATGGAGCTCATTGGGGATTAGTGGAAAGCCTATCGCGGATCTCATCAAGCCATTGTTCCATCAACGCTTGGATAGTAAGAACGAGGGTCTTGAATTGTGCATCAGTGTCGCATCTCACCTTCATTTGGGAGAACAACCATTGTGGCTGCAGCTGTTCTTAGGCCAGCTGACCAAGGCGCGTCCCTTCTCTTGCCCCATTCTTTCGCGTGAAGAAGGGTGCTGGCAATGGTTGACAACGTTGTCACTGTTTTACCAAGGCCCATTGTATCCGCGATGATGCCACCCAAGGGGCCAACTGGGACCTCTAGAGCGGAATCACCTGTGATTGCATGATATTGGCTGGTGGAGATCACATCAGCAAACCAGCATGAAATAGCTTCTACTAAGCCTTCTTACCATATATTGCTGTAATTGTCCATATGAGCATCCCAGAGGGATATGGAAGATGTTGATCGACCGGTTTCTCGGCGTATCATAAAATCGATGCCTTCTTTCTGGTGGCTGCATAGTATGTTAATCGGGAGAAAGTGCTAACAAAGTCTTCATAAATACATACGCGAAAAGTGGAATAACCAGGTGCTCATCGGGTTGAACTTGCTCAAGGTAGTCGTGCTCGTGCAAATTGTCAAGTACATTCTGCAAACTTCTTTCTGAGATTTTGGCGGAAGTGGGTATAGCCTCATTCATAGTAAGGCAACCGTAGTCATCCAAATCAGATGCTTCGCTATCAAGCTTCTCAACACTCGTGAATGGGAACTTATGGGGGTTTTCATATTGAATATCACAACAGGTCGTCGGGTCTTGAAGGAATAGAGCTTGAGATGATAGGTAATCACCAACAAGCAGAGCATTCTTCCGTGATCCAAAAATAGTGATCTCGACACTTGATTCCCAGGCATTCGGAGTGTTGTACTGTGTCATACACTTCCACTCTGAATGCAGAAGAGGGATTGTCAGTCGTGTTTCTTCGATCTCAAACAATCCCCTCAGAGCGTTGGAAACTCCCAAATTGACGAAGCCTATGATATCATCCGTCAACGGAGAGTATATTACACAGTTCTCAGAACCCAAAAGAATCTCGAGATGATGAATCGTTCCCTCGTTATCTGCATTTGATGAGGAGGAGCTGCAACCTCCAGGTGGGCCAGTGAGGAATTGTGCATGAATGTTGAAAATCTATTTTGGTAAGCAAATAGACCAAAAGAAAATCGGTGTAGACACGCACAGATCCAAAGCAGATTATTGTATTGTTTGCATCTACTACGGAGCTGTCTGACTGTTGGCTAGGATCATACTTGCCGTTTGTTAGATCGATTTCTTCGTGATGGTTATGTTCCTGTTTGACTTTGCGGGCTGTGGAAGAATCCGGACCATCACAGAAACCCCCGACTCCGTCAGCAGGGTATTTCCTCTTGATGCCGCCAACAGCCCGAATTCCTGCCATGTCTCGCCCTTTTTATAACAGAACAAACGCTTCACTATCGTAGACAAACTTCCTTCTCCAGTGCACTCCGTACGAAGACACATTCTCGCTGGTTCTGCTTATGAGGGAACTATTGGGGAAGATGTTGGTCTTAGGAGATTTCTGGCGCTAGCCGCTTGACGCATCAGCTGCACTGCCACATCGCTGCCTGATCGCTCCAGGCCCATCCGCCATGCCACCACAGCCTTGTCGCGATTGAAGACGGAGAGGCCGACGTATCTTCCTACCAGCCAAGAAACGATGAAAACCATGGCGACGGAAAAAATTACCAGCTTTCAGCTGGCCCTGGATTCATTCAAGTCTCAGTCAGGGCCTATCCTTGTGCGGGAATTCGAGATGACATCTCTGGCGGCTCTTAAACGCTCAATCGTCAAGATCGAAAGGAAACAAGCGACAGAAAGACGCCTGCAAAATATGCGACGCCTCTCCAAGTTTGTTGATATAATGGAGAGACATGGTGAAGTTATAGAGACCTTGCTGAACACGACTAACCTTCTGGGATTTGTTTGGGTACTCCCCAGTCCGTTATGATCCGATGCATTGACACTGGCTTACATGGTCGAACAGGGGCCAATGAAGTTTCTGTTACAGGTATTGCCCAATCTAGGTCACTATGCTTCCAGCTCCTAATATTCTGCAGGTTGCGAGTTCTGTATCTGAAGCTTTTAACGAGCTCTTGGATACTTATAAAGTCATTGGAGAAAGCCTAGAGCTTCTAGAAAGTTGCAATGGACTCATTGATGGAAACCCTCTAGTTCAACGAGCTGTGGAGTCTATGTTTCATGACATTCTGGAGTTTCACAAAACCGCGGTTGCTTACTTCAGGAAGCCAAGTGAGTGATGTGCCAATGGAGGCATTCGAGTACATAATATTGATCTCACCAAGTGTGGAAACAGGTCTTTCAGGCTACCTGGTCCACCTATAAGGCAAAGTTCGGACCGGTTGTCGACAGTTTGAAACGCCACAGACAGGTTTTTGGGGATAGGCTCACCTTTGCGCAACTCGAAGAGATCCGCGTAGAAGGGGTCAGATCCGCCGATGCACTTAAGAAGCTGCGAAAAGACGAGACAATGCGTCAGCTGAGAGAGATTCAATGCTGGCTGAATAGCGCAGACGTTGCGAGTGATCAAGAATCTTTCAGGAGTGTGCGAAGTTGCAATACTCAAGCCGGAACTTGGATTTTGCGTCATAAGATCTATTGTGCGTGGAAGGAGAGAATCGCGCAGTCGATGCTCTGGGTGAATGGTATCCCAGGAGCTGGTATTGTCCTGATGTCTTATATTGGAAGAGGACTCTACTAATACATCATGCTACAGGAAAACTATCCTGACATCCATTATGGTCGAAGATTGTCTCAAATGCTATCAATCTACGATTTGGTTCTATTTCAGGTCTGGCGATTCGCAACGAAGCTCCTTCCTTAGCTTTGCTGCCAGTATTATCGCACAGCTGCTAGACAAAAACAGCGATCTGATACCTTATGTCTTCGAAGAGATGTGTCGCAAAGGCAAGCGAGCATTTTCATCAGAACCAATAGCCAAAGAGCTACTAGAGGTAATGATGAGAAACTCGGGACAAGTTTGCATTATCCTCGATGGTCTTGATGAGTGCAGTAAGATAGAAAGGAAGAAAATCCTTCAATGGATCCGCCTCATGAGTGAGCATTCACAGAATCGTGATAGTTCAGAATCCACGATATGTATTCTTGTGTCACAAAGGGACGCGATCACCTCCAAGGCTTTACGTGATATTCCAAGCTTGGAGATCACTTCGAAGGATACGCGAGACGACATCTATACATATATAAGGTCCCGAGGCTCAGAGGTGCAAAAGAAATTTCAACTCGGTGACGAAATCACAAAAGCGATGGTTGAGCTTGTCATGGAAAAGGCGGGCGGTAGGTTACGAATATGCTATGTGAGAAATCAAATGGTTCTTTCTGATAAAAGTGTTTCTCAGGGATGTTTCTTCTCGCGAAGCTTGTTATGAACAACCTTTACTGTCAAGTCTCACCCGGTGATCTCTATAAAGAGCTGAACACGAAAGAAATACCAACTCAACTTGACCAAGCGTGAGTCTTGTCCCTGGATATTCAGTTGACATTTCAGGCTGAACCGTGCTGGGGTATGCAGATACGAGCGAATATTGAACAATATCCTTGAAGAGCAGGCTTCCCGAAATCATGCATTTCAGCTTCTTGGCTGGCTAGTGTGCGCAAAACGGAGACTCCAGTGGCGAGAGATACAGGGCGCGGTTTCAATTGACCTTGAAGCCGAAGATGTTGACTTTGAAGGTCGCCAATGGATCCTTGATTCTAGAGACCTATGCGATTCGCTTGTCGAAGTCAAGACCGATGGTTCTCTTGAACTTGTTCATGCAACTGCAAAGCTGTAAGTCCACATTTTAAGCTGGAAGACTGCCGCCACCCTGTTTATCTTCTCTAAATCCGCCTCCTTATTTTCTGACATCATCGGGCCTTAGGTTCCTTATTCGAACAAATTTCATTGATGTCAGACAAGTGGAGTTGAGGATGGCTTCTCTCTGTGTGGGCTACCTAGCTCTACCCGGGTTTGAGACATTCCTGCCAGACGAGTCTGTTGCAGACCTCATAAGCGCTGGATATTACACGTTCCTAGACTACGCAGTATGCTTCTGGTCATCCCATCTCCAGGAGGGCCTCAAGCGCACCATAGATCGGCAGGACGCTATGATGCTGAATGAAGTTCTTTCGAAATTTCTAGAGTCGCACTACCGACATCCCGCAAAAGAAATCAAAATTCCCTCTTCTGCATTTGAGATAAAGAGGCGGATTGAAGAACACGGACCCTGGTCTACTTCGGAGAAATTCCTTAACGCCTTCGCCTCAACGCAGAATCAAATAAGCTGTCTTACTCGAGACGCAGCAACCAATGAATGTCTCGACATACCTGATGTTATAACTCGCATCAGGAAAATTCTAGAGAAAACCACCTCAGAAAATACGACCAATGGGAGAACTGACAGCAGAGTACTGTATTCCTTCTACGGCCACCGTCTCTATGAATGCCCCAGAATGAGCTGCGAGTTCTTCCATCAAGGATTCGAGACTGTCCAGCAAAGAGAATCTCATTTGGGCAAGCACGATAGAGCTTTTGAATGCTCCTTTCCTCAATGTTACAGAGCTACTATTGGGTTCAGCTCAAAGAGGCAACTCGAAAAACACGTCGCGGATACTCATGAGCAAAAGGCAAGGGAAATGCACTCTTTCCCTTCCAAGCGAACGAGGATCGCTTTGCTGTGCAGATTCTGCAAAGAAGAATTTCAGGACACGAGAGCATACCGCATGCATGACTGCACACGTTCCTCTCCAAAGCGGCCACAGAACGTCAAAACGACGGATAAGCCTTTGATCCCAGGAGTTGAAGCCACGACAGGCGAATCCAAACCGACAAACTCACGTTGGCAGGATCCCGGCTTGCTTACTATCGACGAAATTGATAATATGCCACACCTGGGTAATCAGGAGAAAATAGCACATAAGGGGCTCGTGCGTAACCTGTGGAAGATCCTTAATGATGGTAATCGCCCGAGCGCAGAGCACGAGATGGCGCACACCAGGATGACACTTTTGTCGCAACGACTCAGGGACGCTCAGCAAGCATATCAGGAACCCCAGCTAGCGCTTCAGCAACAGGAGCAAACTCATGATACCCAAGTAGAGCAGCAAGCCGAATGGGTTCCGTGGAACAAGGTGCAGCATTTCAGTCAGCTACTGTCTTCAATCCAGGAAAGAGTCTTGGGGCTCACTTTCTACGCCCCACCTGATATCGCAGACGAGCTAATCGAGAACTGGGTTGCTGTGGCCCGATTACGATAAGGAAAAGCACTACAAAAGCAGGAAGAAGCGCAAGCTCAGTTGTCAGAGTTCGACGAGGAAATTGAGAGGCGGCAATCACAGGGTGATATGGCAAGAGAAGAGATACAAGGATATGTGGACAGAAGGCGAGCAATAGCGAGAATATTTGAAGAAGGCCAGGAGTTCGTGCAGAGATTTACAGAGGAGCAAGAGACGTTCAAGGCCCTTTGGCGGAAGAAGGTTGGGTCGGGAGAGATTGTCTTTATCCCTTCAGCATAGCTCGCTTTGTGGCAACCTTGGCGACTGAACCCGTGTTACAAATGTGGTTCGCAGGTAGATACAATGATCGATCAATACCCCTTCCAATCTGGATTGCGATATATAGACGTAAAAATAAGCCCTTTCGGGCTCATCAGATCGAAATCGAAGATTGCTTCAACGCAGACAGCGGGGATCTCAATTCGATTTCGACAAACCATAGCGATGGCGAGAAAGTGACTGCGACGTTTCTAAAAACTTGTGGTCGGGCAGGCTTAACATTATCATCAAGTGCCTAGATGGCAGGTAAAGAAACCTGACAGTACGAGAACAGATTATGATAATCATGCTTGTTGAATTGTTTTTCCATTTTGTTTTTCCATTTTTTAATTCTATGTTTGTTTTTCCGAACTGGGAAACAGAATTAAAGATAAGAAAAAATCAAAGAAAAAGGGAAAACACCTTTCAGACCTCCTCGACACCCACCAAGTCCGACCGACCGAAGTCAAGACATCATGACAAGGTAAAGATCATCACCACTCCCTGGACCATCGCACCGACACCCGAAACAAGTCCATCTGACGATGGATCGTAACAGAGCGTGCAAGTGCGAAGTCGAATCGGAAGTAAAAAACGGCTTCACTTTAGGGCATCGAGGACATAGCAGTCATCAGCAAGGGTGGAGATTCTGTGGCTCTTTAGAAGAGCTCAGAGGTGGGACGTCTACTCTAAAGTGATTCTTTGAACTGTAGGCAAAAAGGTGGTTAGCAAATGAGTCTTCAGTGGGATCATCCCAATGTAGGGGGGAGGGAAACTAACGTAGAGTCGCTTGATTTTCAAAATCTTTGGGGGGGAAGCCGCCTTTTATACCTGCGCGGTGGGTCCTCGCTTGCGCTAGCTGACTTTGCTGGTGGAGCCGGCGACAGCCGAGGTGAGTATTAGTCATCATATAGAGCAGAGACGGGACTTCACCACCAATAAGATTGCAGATT